AATATTATATTTTGACCTAAATCAAAATATAATATTATTTTCAAAAGCCTCTTTAGTCTGATGCTTCAATTAATTTTAAACAGACAGTTCAACAGAAGGATACCCAACAAATGTAATTTTATCATTTAAATATTGAATTGTTCTCTCTTAGTAAGATCCCAGTTTCAATAAAATTGCGGTCTTACCTTGACTTGAAGATTAAGTCCATTTGCCTATCCTTCTGGACAAAAATCTCTATTACTTTTTTGTAAAAGTCCTCCTTATCTTCTTGTAGTTTCAAAAGTCTATCATAAATCTAAATGATGGATTTATGATTCGAAAATGATAAAAGTAGGGTAGACATGTGGATATTATCCGACTGAACAAAACGTGCATGTATCTAACAGCTACGTTTCCCACAGATCTTATTTTGAGCTATTTTCTAAAATCCTATGGAGAAATCTCATTGCTTTTTTGTGGAGGGAAGCCATGCGCAGCTTACTTCCTGGTTTTAGGACGAGTCTCTCTCCTCCTCTTCACCTGCTCTTCACACACCACACTTTTCGCGGCACACGTACTTACAGCCAATCAGCTCTGAATGATGTGAGATGTCGTATGGTGGGGATGGCAGCTCTATGCCCCTATGGTCATTATTTTTTGCCACACACATTAAATAGGAAAATACCCTGAGCATGCGCAGTGTAGTTTTTACAGTCACCGTTCACCTATGGCGCGTTTCCACTGCAGCGGGTAGCCCCGTTTAAGCGTCCTTAACCGTCCTCAAGCGGCCAGGCCGGTTTTTGGTGGCGTTTCCATATAGCCTAGTACCGGCCAGCGGGTACTTTTTCCCTCTTTTTCCGGCCTCATAAAATCGTGGTTCCCTCAGACCAGGGCCAGGGCTGAACTAGTGACGTCAACACTCTCGACTGCTGATTGGTCAGAGAGAATCATCACAAGATTGCGCGCGAGTTCATCCCTAGCGTCGCATATATATCTAGAAGCAAGCTTGCAGCATTTTTATACACAGCATTTTGTAAACGGAGGAGCTACAAAATGGCTACGTCTAATAAGAAAAGCACACCGTGGTCGACCGAGGAGGTGACGACGTTCCTACATCTCATTGGGGATGATCAAATCCAGCGGGAGCTCGACGGAACAACTCGAAATGTGAACAAAAACAAAGCCGATGGCCCCGCCTACACTGCGTTGCTACCCCAGGTCCTAAACTGTAATGGAAATGCGCCACGGCCTGGGCCGGCCAGCGAGGCGGCCCGAGGCCAGAGCGAGGACGCTTAGGGACGCTTAAACGGGGCTACCCCGCTGCAGTGGAAACGCGCCATTAGACCAGGGGTCTGCAACCTTTTTGACCAAAAGAGCCATTTTGCTCCTTTTTCCAAAAAAATGTTTTGTCTGGAGCCGCAAAACATATTTCATCGTTTTGTATTGTTATATCAGACAAAAACTACAGTTTTTTGCATTTATTAGGCTATTTATTACATGATATAAAACTGTTAACCTCTAATAAGAAACAAAGAACTCTTATAAGGAGAATTACAAATAATACACAGGCCTACTTTAAAATAAATTAAACACAGCACTTGGGGAGTCCTCTGCACATTTGAAGGGAAAACAAATATTAAAATGGGCCCACTTTGAAATAAATAAAACATATAGCTGCACCCTAAAAAGAGTTAAAGGTAGGTAAGAATGGAGAAACCAGCTCAAGTGCGCTAGAATTTGAAAGTACACAACCGGAAAACATATGCCTCTTCCTTCAGACTTCCTTACAGAGTCCCTCCTCCAACACACGAACGCGCACATGACCAATGAGGGCACGAGATAAATTTGTGCCCAGATGGGAGTCTGACAGGCAGGTAGGTCATCCAGTTATTTTAGCCGGGCCGGCTCAGATGATTGGTCGTGCTTTTTACAGCGCCACGGCTTCCACAGATGACGTTTTTGTATGTATTTATTGTCAAAGCATTTAATATATTCATTGCTATCGGGACGTTAAGAGCATTCCATGGAATATAACAAAAAGTGTTTTCTGAAATAAATGACATACCCCATTGAATTATGACTGAAGATCGTCAGCTGTCTTCCTCTCCCGTGTTGTTCCTTGACAACTTCTCTCTACATATCAAACATACCGGTAAACCAGCATCGTTTGCTGTGAAAGCAGATAACTCTGTCCACACAGAATTAAATCCTGTGTTCCTCCGGTACTTTTCTTTGATTTATCCATAGTTCCCTCATCGAGCCGGGGGTCAGGTTATTCGCCTCCAAGAAAAGGCGCTCGCGCGGGACCGTAGCAGGATGTGACGCATATTTTAGTTGACCTAATTAAAACCGTTTTATTTTTTATTTATGTGTCACAGTATCACCTCAAAATACAAGATACGAAACATTTTCAACCATGCAACAAAATATAAATAGTCCTACAAATACTTTTATTTTATTTCCTTCTTATGTTTGGCTTAAAGGGCCGCATGCTGCCCGTGGGCCGCGGGTTGCCGACCCCTGACTTAGACAGAGAGAGGGAGGGGCAGGATCGGGTTTTGTCCCACATGGCTTTAAACAGCTCAATAGGCACACACTGTAGACACTAATTAGAAGAACACAGACTAAAACAGCAATGTACAGACGAATCAGACGATTAAACATGATCTTAAAATATATTTTAATTTATTTTTTGCATTTTGTTGTAATCATTATTTTAATACTTTCTGCTGACACTAGGTGGGGCTGCCCCTAATGACCAGTCGCCACTGTATACGACACTAAACAGTAACGCAAACGACCGTTTTCGTCCTCGTGTGGCTGGGGCCAAACTGACTGCAAACGTCCCGTCTGACTGGGAGATAAATAGAGGGTTTTTTTTAATATCAAAATGGCATGAAATATGCTTATAAAGTCTAATTTATGAATGCCCTGTTTATAAGATGGAGATTATCATTTGAAATGTCATTATTTTTAAAGAGGTGGATGGTGAATAATATTACTATTAAAAATGTTTCACTCACATCATGACTTTGTTTTTATTACAGTACACGTTTTCTGAAATGTTATCTTTAAATATACTAACGCATACAGAAACAGCATAGAAATGTGTATGGGAGTGAAACTCATTTTGATAAAAAAATTAAAAAAGGCCTTGTACAGTATTGTGAATATACATTTGGCAGTACACAGGTAATTAAGTAAAACAAATAGTAACTCATTCATATGACCACTTTTTGTATTAGATTCGAATTTAATCTGGCATTATTTAATGATAACATAGTAAGGAATCAAAATAGCCCAACCTTTCAAAACTGTCAACCGATAGTGACGTACCTTCACCTGTTAGCGACACAATGCTTGAATAGCACGTTCTCTAATAGGGAGTTGGCTCAAGGACTAAGAGGTTAAAATAAGGGCAGTGTCTGAAAGATTCAAGACAACCTGTCTGCACTGAGTAAACAAAAATATGCTATGAGACAGTGAACACATGTGCAATCTCATAGTACGTCCCAACACACAGATATCTGTCTAAGAATACCTCAGTTGTACTGTGTGAATGAGGTCAAAGGCCAGGTTATATTTCAATGTGTGTTCATTGAATTGTACTGGAAGTAGTGTATCAGGTTGTTTCTGTGCTGAATGACAAACTAATTGACACTTGTGAGGGATCTTAAAGTCTGTTGATAGATGCCTTACTGACTTTGACCTTTAAAAAACGAGAGCACAACAAAAACTCACTGACATTGAACTGTCTGACTGACTGAGTGCAAGTAGTGGAAGAAGTATTAAAGAGGCACTGTTATGCTTTTGGGGTTTCCCCTTTCCTGTAGTGTGTTCTGGAGGTTTGTGTGCATGTGAATGGTCTGCAAAGTAATACATATTACATAAAAAATACTCAGATATTGTACTTGAGTAAAAGTAGAAGTACTCAGGTCTTGTACTTGAGTAAAAGTAGAAGTACTCAGGTCTTGTACTTGAGTAAAAGTAGAAGTACCAGAGTGTAGGAATACTCTGTCAGAGTAAAAGTCCTGCATTCAAAATGTTACTCAAGTAAAAGTAGAAAAGTATTATCATCAAAATATAGTTAAAGTAGCGACAGTAAAAGTAGTCATTGTGCAGATTGGTCCATTTCAGAATAATATATATGATATGTTTTATAATGATTGATCATGAAAGTGTTCTCAAAGCTGGTGAAGGTGCAGCTAGTTTGAATGACTTTGTAAGCTGCAGGGTAGCTGGTGGATTTACTCCAGGTGGAACTAAAGTAGCAACAAATGGCACAAGTACAGTACTGGAGTAAATGTACTAGTTACTTCCCACCACTGATTGACTGTTAGTGATTATCTGACAGGTAACTGACAGTTTAACTGATCTGACTCTGAGTCCATCACCTGCTGATTACCTGCGGACGTCAAGCAGGTACCTGAACCCCCTTTGGTAACCAAGATAAAAGGTCTAGGAAGTAAGGAAGTAAGGAAAAGGGGAACCGAAGAAGGTTTTCTCACCGTTAAGCCGAAGAAAACTTTCCCTTCTCCTCCTTTTACCCCAACGGTCCAAACCCGGTTGCCAACCCAGCTCACAAACCGGGTTAAATCCGCTCCAAACCAGACCAGGTTTATCTCGGACCTTCTCCAGACCTTCACCCCTTCTCTGCCCCAAACAGGTAGTCCAGGTGTGGACGTTTTAGCGTGTAAAATAAGGGTTAAAAAGACCCGGATCGTTTGTCTCTACCTGAGACAATAATCACTGCTGTGGGCGGGGTGACCAGCGGCAGGCAAACAAGGAAGTGACGTCATCACGTTAATGTTTATGTTACGCTCTTAAAGTGAACGTCACTGTATTTTTTTTTCTTTACTGTATTTGTATTATTTGTATGTATTTTGTTCTTACTTTATACGTCCAACCCCTGAATACATTATGTTAATATATGTTCTTGAATAAATAAAATTAAAAACAAAAAATAAAAATCTTAAAGTTAACGTAAGGTGTTACGCACGAAGGCGGAACTTGCAGGAACTTTAAAGTTAGTTAGTTTGACAGGCAGTTGTTTAGCGTTGGATTGGTGTTACATTCATTTGTTAGGAGTATTTATAAACTGCAGGGTTTTAGTCGAGTTGCGGGCATGGTCTCCACGATCCAAAACACCGACGTGAAGCAGGTAGGACTCACCTAGGTCGAGTTATGACATTATAATGTAGGGCTGTCTCATACTCAAAGAGACAGGTCACAAACATCCAGAACCACACCCTGTGGAAAATATTAGCAATACCACACTGTTTGCGTGCCCTTCTTAAGAGTTTTCCACCAGGTTTGAATGATCATGTATTTTAATCTTCCTCACTTCCTCACAGTCTTATGACTCGATGCCTTCTTGCAAATGCAGCTCATAATGCTACACAAAAAGTAAAACGTCCCATTGGAGAGGGAGAACATTGAAAGGGAAACACGTATTTGTTTTATTTTAAAATCATGCAATCTGAATGTTATGTGTGCCGAATTGATGGGTGAGAAGTATTGTTTATAATAAAACACAAACTTATTTTAACTGTGACATACCTGCACCAGGTGGCGGGGCAAGGAAACAATTGAATATTCTGTAATAGAGGTTTGGACCATATGAGACTGAAAAAGTGCATTGTCTAAATACTGTAGGTAATAGACTTATAGACATGTATTTTCATTTTACTTTATACTTCTACTCCACTAGCCAATGTAGTACTTTTTACTCCACAGATGGATCAATTCAGATGTTGACACAATACGTAGGAAAAACATGATTAGTTTTGCTTTAGATTAAACCATCCAACATTATAACTAAGACCATGAGTGGGTTAACAGAAAAATAAATTGGCTTTAAGAGGTCTTTAATATAAATATACTTCACTGTTCCAGCTTCTTCAATGTGAGGATTTGCTGCTTTTACTTTCTGCAATGAGTACTTTAACTCCTAATACGTTTTTACTATTCTTGATGCAATACTTTTACTTGAAATTGGGTTTTTTTTCAAGTGGGGTATTAGTAATTTTACTCAAGTGAAGAATCTTCGTACTTTTTCCACCACTGTTAGTTGTCTGAAGATTCAGATCCTGTTTCTATTTACGTGTATACAGAATAGACTTTTTGCAATACTTTTTATTCTGTATTTTTGAATTTTATTATATATGTAGGATTGTTGGAGGAGCTTAGGTCATAAGAATGCCATTGCCATTTCTACACTGTAACTTTGTGCATATGACAATAAAAGCTTTAAAACCTTTGAAATCTTTGAATCTTTCCCCTCTGCAGAAAGAGGCTGATCGTGCGGTGGTCGTCGCGGTAACGTCTCGGGCGGTGTTTGACTGTGGAGCTGATGATGGAGATGAGGTGTGCGAAGTGGGCGTGGCTTTCCCTCTGCTACAGGTAGACTCTAACACTGAACTATTAAAAACGGTTTATTTGGTTAGTGAAATAATGTTTTCCCCTCTAAAATGAACTCAGGTGAGCATAGCCATATTCATATATCTGTGTGTTGGGGAAATCCTGAATGTCCTCTTCCAATATCAGAGCACACATGATAACAAAGGTATCCCAACTGTAGCTGTATTCATGACAGGATGTGTGATTACCTAGAAGAGCATCAGGACTGTTTGAGGCATGTGATAGCTATGTGATTAACATGATGATTCAGCCTCTATGGAGAGAGACATCAAGCATGCTCATTTCTGACGTGGAGCTAATCTGAAGTAAACATTGAATACTGCTTTCTATTCCTCCATCTTGTGACTGTGTGACTCCCTCTCTTGGATATCAGCATGTGAAGGATACTGCTCAGGAACTAGCTGATGCTCTGTATGTGATGACTACTTCCATTCTGGAGAGGATCACAGATACGTGGATCCTGATTTGAATCCTGACGAGTGATATTTTTCTAACACTGTGCCATAAACTAATTTTGTGTAAAAAGTAGTTTATTTTGAGTCAATCCCACATACAGGAAATAGAGCAAGTGAGAAAATGAGGATTAATCCGCCACTGAAAATAGTTCCCTACAAACGCACCATTTCCTCATATTTGGCGCCCTGGTAATGACTCAGCCGTTATTTTCAATTGAAACCTAAATATACTTGTGATATGTTTGAACAGATTTTACAATGGATTTGGAGTTTTGAGAGCAAAGTTTACAATAAGAAAAATAAAGAACAAAACCAGACTAAACTTTTAAAGGAACCTTTTCAATTGAATTCATAACCCAGGCGCTGCAGAGAGTGAACGAACGTCTGTTGGAGGAGAATCCATCGGAGTCGCTGCTGTTCGATGTAGTCCTGATCACCAGCGACAGTCAGCAACAGCAGCAGAGCTCCCGCATCATCAGCAACACCCGGCATCACGGTAATATCCCTTTTACCTTGAGCAGCACAATCATTACTCTAACTGTGACCATAAACTCCATCGCTGGACATTACGGTAGTCTTATTTCAACCATCAGCAGCACGACACATTGTGAAGTAAAAACTTCTTTGCAGCAATGTTGAGCGCATCATCAAATGAGGGAAACTGGATTCGCCTGTCAATACACTGATATTTATTGAGAGCCTGAACGGCCGGAGAGTTCACAGCATATCACAGTTCTCATGTAAGATCCCAGCAAACTCTGCCCCAAAAGCGCCAAGCACCCATCTATACAAAGAGAAGAGGAGGGCCCTAAAACACGCGGGTTTTCCTTTAATGCATGCCAGATGTCGAGACAAAGACTCGTTGCATTGTAAACCCACATGAGCCAAGCTTCTCCCCCACAAGACATCAGATGACCTCTTGACCTGTGTCTTCCTGAGAAGCTATGGATCACATTACAGGCAGGAATACACTTTAACCAATAAACAGATTCCCGAGGACAAATCACTAAACTCTATATACTTTAACAAGACCAAAATATTCCTTTACACACATCATAACTGACTGACCTTTATTTGATTGATTTGTTATTCTAACCTTTTATGCTCTTAACCTTTTCTATATTACCATATTTTATTCAATATGCTCCTTAGATAACTTTTAATATTATTTGTTTTATTATTTCCTCCTTACAGTATAGCATTGTGAAGCACCTTGAGATGACGTTGTTTTTAAAGTGTGCTATATAAATGAAATGTATTATTATTATTATTGTTATTGTAAGGTAATCTTCAGCAACAACACAGTAATTTAACTTTAACCTACAGCAGCAGTATAACACATTATGGTAATACAACTCTAATCTTCTGTAGCGACAAATATTACAGTAATCCAATGTTAAAGGGGACCTATCATGGAAAATGCACTTTGTGATGTCTTTTATACATCAACATGTGTCCCCGGTGTGTCGGGGAACTCACGCAGCGTCAGAAAAGAAAACCCTCTCTCTTTTCCTCCGTACCCAAATCTTTTAAAAACGGGGTGTAACGGAGCTGATTCAGATTTGCTGCCGATATGACGTCAAATCGGCAGCGGACCCACAGAGAGTTGCTATCAGAAACAATGCCTGACGTGTTTTGGACGTAATCTCGTCTTTGTTGACATTAGCAAGCCTCGCTAACACTCAGAGCTAACCTGTACTGGAGGCACATGTGTTTAAAAAGCAGGAAATAAAAAAAAGAACTCACCTTGTGATAAACCTGAGAGAGAGAAAGCATTTGAGCTCCATACTGTTTCAGAAATAATCCTTGATGTGGTTTAAACAGGATGGCATATATCACAGCAGAATGTAACTTTATCTCCGGTAGAATTCTGTTCAGGCATTAGCTCCGCCTCCTCTTTTTTTTTTCAAGCTAAGGACCCAAAATCCTTGTTTCTCTAACAGGGTTGCAACAGAGGGGTTTGAGCAGAATGAGGCATGGCTACAATGGAGGATCTGTTTGGTATTTTAAGCAAAACACTTCACAGACATGTTTTGTATAGGTATGGCCCTACAATATATGTTTCCAATATAGCAATAGGTCCACTTTAACCTACAACAGCAGCAAAATACCTTACAGCTATCTAACCTTAATGATCAGCAGTAACAACAAACAGTAGGGTAATAAAGCTTTAACCAGCAGTATCAACACCAGACATTAGGGTAATCTAATTTGAACCAGCATCAGAACTACCAGAGATTACAGTAACCTAACTTTAATCTCCAACAGCACCACCAGACATTTCTGTAATCCTACTTTAACCAGCATCAGAACTACCAAACATTACGGTAATCCAATTTCATACGTCAGCAGCAACACTAAACATCACGGTAATCTAACTTTAACCAGCAGCATCAACACCAGACTTTACGGTATTCTATGGCTATCCTTTTGTCTTATTGATGCAGTGGTTGACCTTTTGTTCTGTTGCAGGTCTTGAAATAAGCAGGTTCTGTTTTTCCAGCGAGGAGGATTTCACGGAGAGTTTACTGAAAAATAACGTGCATCTCTTCCTGACGACGGACAGAGACGAGGCGGCGCAGGCGTCACAAAAAGGTTTCTTCAAACTATCTCGGCTATTTCAAAGTCCATCCTGTCTATTTCTAGTGTGAATGTCCAGGTGAATCATCCTCCTTCTCATTGGTCCAGGGGTTTTCTCGGCGCTGCTAAATGGGAAGGTAGCTTCGTCAGAGCAGCTCAGAGTTGTGTTCTGCGGGGACGCCGTCATCCGGACCGACACAGAACCACCATCAGCGAGCCAAGACGCCGCTCAGGTACTCACGTAAACAAACGATGATACCTCTTTCGTCTAGATCTTTTGTGCACCAGTCAATCCTCAAATTAAATACAGAGTTAAATCCCACATCAAATGTACGATAGACGGTCTTGTATGTTGTCTTAAAGGTCCCCTATTATACTGTTTTTCATTTTCATTTCGTCTGTTATATACAAAATATGTCTCTGAAGTGTTTGGCTCCAAACAGATCATTGCAGCATCCCATAATAATAAGGGAGGGGGGGGGGTTACCTTGGTTGCTGATTGGCTGATGGTTACACAAGCTGAAACATCGTTATGACATCATAAAGTGGCCAAAATCTGATCAGCTCATTTTCAGACAGGTTTTTATAGAAATGGATCAAAAAGAGAGAGAATCTTTGTTCCTGAAACTTTCAGAGTCTCTTTCCACAGAGGGGACACATGTTGATGAAGAAGAGACATGAAGAAGAGGGGACACATGTTGATGTAGAAGAGACATGAAGAAGAGGAGACACATGTTGATGTAGAAGAGACATGAAGAAGAGGGGACACATGTTGATGTAGAAGAGACATGAAGAAGAGGGGACACATGTTGATGTTGAAGAGACATGAAGAAGAGGGGACACATGTTGATGTAGAAGAGACATGAAGAAGAGGGGACACATGTTGATGTTGAAGAGACATGAAGAAGAGGGGACACATGTTGATGTAGAAGAGACATGAAGAAGAGGAGACACATGTTGATGTAGAAGAGACATGAAGAAGAGGGGACACATGTTGATGTAGAAGAGACATGAAGAAGAGGGGACACATGTTGATGTTGAAGAGACATGAAGAAGAGGAGACACATGTTGATGTAGAAGAGACATGAAGAAGAGGGGACACATGTTGATGTTGAAGAGACATGAAGAAGAGGGGACACATGTTGATGTTGAAGAGACATGAAGAAGAGGGGACACATGTTGATGTAGAAGAGACATGAAGAAGAGGGGACACATGTTGATGTAGAAGAGACATGAAGAAGAGGGGACACATGTTGATGTAGAAGAGACATGAAGAAGAGGATTTTGCACAATAGGTGACCTTTAAATATTTGTTAAATTATGTTGCAAAGCTGCTGTGATGCAAGAAACATTTCCGACTCGATCTGACAATAAAGGAAGATAAGATAAGATAAGAAGTACTTTATTGATCCCAATTTGGGACATGTTTGTGTTGCAGCAGCATACAAAGACATGGCATTGTACAATCAAAATCAAAAGACTAGAAATAAACAAGAAATTAGAAAATATACATGTTGAATATTAATAAAAGCTTGTTTAAGTTATTATATATACATAAGTATGTGAGGTATGGAATATTAAATTGAATATAAATGTCAAATGTACAGTGTGATAATATTATAAGTATAATAGTATCGTGTTAACTTCTGTACTTTTCTATAAGCCCTATTGAAGATTCTTTCAATAAAAGCTAATGCACGTTTCTTGCGTCGCAGAGTTTCTGGGCTCAGCTGGGCGAGATGCGGCGGAGGTTCGGCATGTTGGACAGCCCCCTCAGCCTTGTGCTGCTGACGTCCCGCGGCGGGAGGGAAAGCTGCGGCACCGCCCTCCAAACGCTACGATCACGAGGCGTAAACATGGACGAGGCGTACTCCCTGGCTGGGGCCCCGCAGAGCCCCATCCTGTCCCTGCTGAGACCTCACTTCCTGCTTATCAACCACCTGCAGGACTGAGGACATCATAACTAGGATGAACTGTTACAAGATTAAAAATAAAATTCACTGTGTCTTTAACAGAGATGTCAAAAGTACATCCTTTACTCAAGTAGAAGTACAGATACTCGTGTTTAAAAATAGAAGTAGAAGTACTGACTAAACTTCTTTACTCAAGTAGAAGTAAAGAGGCTTTGAAATGTACTTCAGTAAAAAGTTCCCATAACTAGCAGCTGTTTTAAAGAGTACCTGACCTCCCTTTATATTAATAGAACAATAATGTCATTGTTAGCTAATGAATGTTTCCATGCTGAACAACGGCAACATGACAACGTTTCCATTGGTCCCTCTTCTTTAGAGAAGACCAGGAAATGATGGATACACGGATCGTGTTCAAATCAATAGGCACGCAATGACTCTAAAGAATAATGATCACGCACCAAACACACATTCAGACTAAAGGAACCAGCTGTTTGGAAAATGAGAGAAGTAGAAAGTACAGGTATTTGAGTTCAACATGTAAGAAGTAGAAAGTACAGGTATTTGAGTTCAACATGTAAGAAGTAGAAAGTTCAGGTATTTGAGTTCAACATGTAAGAAGTAGAAAGTACAGGTATTTGAGTTCAACATGTAAGAAGTAGAAAGTACAGGTATTTGAGTTCAACATGTAAGAAGTAGAAAGTACAGGTATTTGAGTTCAACATGTAAGAAGTAGAAAGTACAGGTATTTGAGTTCAACATGTAAGAAGTAGAAAGTTCAGGTATTTGAGTTCAACATGTAAGAAGTAGAAAGTACAGGTATTTGTGTTCAACATGTAAGAAGTAGAAAGTACAGGTATTTGAGTTCAACATGTAAGAAGTAGAAAGTTCAGGTATTTGAGTTCAACATGTAAGAAGTAGAAAGTACAGGTATTTGAGTTCAACATGTTAGAAGTAGAAAGTTCAGGTATTTGAGTTCAACGTGTAAGAAGTAGAAAGTACAGGTATTTGGGTTCAACATGTAAGAAGTAGAAAGTACAGGTATTTGAGTTCAACATGTAAGAAGTAGAAAGTACAGGTATTTGGGTTCAACATGTAAGAAGTAGAAAGTTCAGGTATTTGAGTTCAACATGTAAGAAGTAGAAAGTACAGGTATTTGGGTTCAACGTGTAAGAAGTAGAAAGTACAGGTATTTGGGTTCAACATGTAAGAAGTAGAAAGTACAGGTATTTGAGTTCAACATGTGAGAAGTAGAAAGTACAGGTATTTGGGTTCAACATGTAAGAAGTAGAAAGTACAGGTATTTGGGTTCAACATGTGAGAAGTAGAAAGTACAGGTATTTGAGTTCAACATGTAATAAGTAGAAAGTACAGGTATTTGGGTTCAACGTGTAAGAAGTAGAAAGTACAGGTATTTGTGTTCAACATGTAAGAAGTAGAAAGTACAGGTATTTGGGTTCAACATGTGAGAAGTAGAAAGTACAGGTATTTGGGTTCAACATGTGAGAAGTAGAAAGTACAGGTATTTGAGTTCAACATGTAATAAGTAGAAAGTACAGGTATTTGGGTTCAACGTGTAAGAAGTAGAAAGTACAGGTATTTGGGTTCAACATGTGAGAAGTAGAAAGTACAGGTATTTGTGTTCAACATGTAAGAAGTAGAAAGTACAGGTATTTGGGTTCAACATGTGAGAAGTAGAAAGTACAGGTATTTGAGTTCAACATGTGAGAAGTAGAAAGTACAGGTATTTGGGTTCAACGTGTAAGAAGTAGAAAGTACAGGTATTTGTGTTCAACATGTAAGAAGTAGAAAGTACAGGTATTTGGGTTCAACATGTAAGAAGTAGAAAGTACAGGTATTTGGGTTCAACATGTAAGAAGTAGAAAGTACAGGTAGGGTTCAAAATTTAAGAAGTAAAAGTAAAAAGTCGTCAGAAAATAAGTAGTGGAGTAAAGTACTGATACCAGAAAAATGTACTTAAGTACAGTAACGAAGTATTTGTACTCCACTACTTCCCGCCTCTGTAGATGTCAATTCAGCTCATTAGCGTAAAGAGCCAATCAGTGGTCCTGATTTAAAGCTAAGCCCCGCCCACTTTCACAGTGGTTATATATTTTGGTTTGTATTTTAATTTTTTTCAACTCTAATTTGATGATGAAAATAAACCTGAATGAATCAGAATGTGTATAAGTGTTTTTCAGTCCATGACTGTACGATTTACGATAATAATGCTTTTACCTTGAGCAGCACAATACGGTATTCTAACTGTGACCCGGCCTAAAGTCCATCACTGGACATTACGGTAGTCTTATTTCACCCATCAGCAGCCCTGGACACTAACTTTAATCTTCAGCAGCAACACATTAATTTAAATGTACCTTGCAGCAGCAGTATACAACATTATGGTAAAATAATGGAGAGCAGTCTCTCTTTGAATCTGATCATATTAAACACACTATGTCATTTTCTGGACTGATCGAAGGAGTTTGTTATCAATGCAGCTTTGTTCAGGAGGATGTTACCGGTGCCGAATTATCCACAGGGGTCTCAAACAAACAGACCATGTTTTAAAAACTTTTAAAAGCACTGAGTTGAGAAAAACTGCATTTCCCCAATGTTGTCCAAACGTATTTATCTTATATTCTTAAGATCTAGACGTTGAATGACTGGAATATATGGTTAAAAACTACCAAAATCTAAAATGATACAGTAAAAATGTACTGTTTTAAGACGGCTTAAAAAGTCAAATTATGACCGAGGGATACAATATAAACGTAATCTAAATCACAGATTTCTTTGGTTTTGTAAAATGTTCCACACATTTCAGATAATTGAAGTAAGACAACGACAAAATATCAAACGGAGATCTAGTTATTTTGACCATTTTTATTTTTGGAAAAGTTACAGATGCGTTGAATGCAGAAAATAACAGTTGAATTTAACATCTATACTCTTAAAGGTGGGGTAGGTAATTTTGGAGAAACCAGCTCGAGTGCGCTAGAATTTGAAAATACACAGCCGGAAAAAATCTGCCACTTCCTTACAGAGCCCCTCCTCCAACACACACAAACGCGCACATGACCAATGAGGGCACGAGATACATTTGTGCACAGATGGAAGGCTGACAGGCAGGTAGGCCATCCAGTTACTTTAGCCGGGCCGGCTCAGATGATTGGTCGTGCTTTTTACAGTATTACGGCTTCCACAGATGACATGTTTTTATGGATTTTTGCTATGGGATGTTAAGAGCATTCCATGGAATATAACAACAAGTGTATCTCGAGCCGGTTTCTCAAACTTACCTACCCCACCTTTAACTTGCAGCTGATGTGATTAAAAATCCACCTTCTATATGCTAAAAATATTATAGTGCCAACAAGAAAAAATGCACTATTCCTATCTTGTGCATCTTATACATTACATTTCATTTAGCTGACAATGTTGTCCAAAGCGACAACCAATGAGTTCAATCAACCATGAAGATAGACCCCCAAAAAAGCAGGATTCCTGAAAGTACCTAAGCTGTTCATAAACGCAACCAAGTGCTACAACCAAGTGAGATTTTTTTTTGGATTTTTTTTGATGGAAAAGGTGCAGTTGACACAGGTGGGTGTTGATTCTGTGACAGAAGATGTGTAGACGTTCAGCTGTCATGATATCAATTGGGAGTTCAATCCACCATTTTGGAGCCAGGATAACAGATAGGTGTGTTCTTGTGAGAGAAACTCCTTCTGGAGGAAACACAGGGATATTAGCATTCGCAGACCATACAAAAACCTATATAACACACGACAGGAAAGGGGAACCAGAAAAAAGCATAAAAGGATCTCTTTAAGTATGTCCTGGATGTAGGAAGGAAAAGTGCCAAAAGGTAGAACATTACCAGGGACTTCAAGCAGATATGGGCATCTACTGGTAGCCAATGAGGGGAGGGGAGGGCGGTGTATTTGTGGGAGAACTGAGGGGGGTTTTAGAATAATTGGGCTGCTGCGTTCAGAATAAGCTCCTGAGGGGTTTAGGGTTGGGGTTGAGATTTCTCCTTACACTACGGGTTCTTAATAGTCTATCTCGAGCTCTTTGCAGATCACCGGGTCAACCTCACGGAGAGCAGCGAGCAGGATTGTGCTGGGATCTCGTCCCTTGTATTGCACCATCTGCAGCACCTCTCTTGCTCTTTCTTCTTGGGGTTTGGCGCTGACTGATGCAATTTGCTCATCAGTTAGAATTTTGTTCTCGATAAGCACATCGAGAAGCTTCTCCAGAGTAGCTGGAGATATCCCATTGCTGAGCGCTGACCGATGAGAGATCAGCTGCATGTCTGAATAGGGCTTCCGCCGGGACATTAACCATCTTGCTTCTGGAAGATAAAGAGGAAACATACTTTTGTTATACAACTAACAACACTTACAACAGAGATTAAAATAACTGTAAAGCTCAGAAGAAATTAAATGTAGTGTTCTACAGATAACATATGCTCTAAATAACTCCTTTCTTTGCCTTTTTGTTCACTTGAAAGATGATGAGATGGAGCAAAATGCATGAAGGTGCACTGCAGCTATACTGTTCTATTGTAACTTGTCTATCACTGGGCTCTGAACTTGACATCAGGCGGAGGCGGTACCTTGCAGATACAGTCTGTTTTCCCAGGCTACTTTCCCGCTCTGGTCCTGGAGCTTCAAGTTCAGGGACTCTGTGCTCGTGTCCAGGAAAACTTCAAATGTCGGATGGTAATTCGGTCCGAACCTGGGTGAGAATTCATCATGCTGAAAACCAGAACAGAAGAAATTAAGTGTTAACCTGGTTTGTTCATGATTGTGAATCTACATACAGCCAAAAGTAAATGTATGCTTGTTTATAAGCATTAGCGCCAGGTTCCACATTGCGACTTTAGGCTCTTTGTTCAATGGATACCAATGAGAAGAGAGTGTACACCATTGCATGAGGACCACCTTGTGAAAAAAACCTGTGGTTACCAGCTTCTTTTTACCAAGCATTCGGAAAATATCTCAACTATCAGAGAAACACTGAGGACGTCACTGTAGAAAATGGAGAGGAAGCTTTTTGTTGACCGTGTCCTTCAGACTAAAATCATAACAAAGACAATCTAATGAAACAGAATTGAGCCGATCGACTAGGATGACCCTTGATATTGCTTTCAGTGAAAAGTTATAGTTGGTTTCATAGAAAACAGAAAGGCACGTTATGTAGACACCGGGCCTTGGAAGAGAAGCTGTGACTTTACTCACCATTGGCTGCAGGAACAGGTCTTCAGGATCAACGTGAATGCTGTATTTGTGACCAAAGTCCAGCTGACAGTGGCTTGGGATCCTTACGCGCTGAGCACCATTTTGTTGTCTGGAAATCTTCAGAAACAGGACATTTCTATCACTTGGGTTCATGACATTTATACACAACAAATGTTGACGGTGCCAACAGAGCGCTGCAGGAATGAGTGAGTGGAGAATGAGCTAGCATTCTAAAATGTATGGTTCCCCCATCCCGAAGCCAACATTTATTTAATTTGTTGTTTTTGGTTAGTAACCTGAAATAAGGTCTGTGGTTTACACAAACTGTTCACGTTCAGGACATTAAATATGTCAGTTAATACCCCACTGGTGAATGTCAGTTTCTATCTTTCAGCAGCGGTTGCTAACAAGTGACTAAACGAGACTTCTAAACTTCATCGCGCTGAACATTAGCCACCTTTAGCTTAGCGGTCTCTGATGCACAGCCATGCGACTGTGATGCATTTCCTTTGTAGCTTTATGTTATAGCTTTTTACTTCTGCCGATTACATTGACGCTTTAAAAGTCATAAAAGGGGTGTCCATCTTTTGGGATTATCAATAGGAACATCATTTATAAGTATAGTTAAACGTGATCTAATTTTCTGCAATATTCCGAAATCCAATGGAAAAATCCCATTGCTTTTTGTCGAGGGTTAGGGTTAGTGCTATCCTACATCATCAGTGCACCACTCTACTGCCGAAAGGGATGACAACAAAAAGCAACTTGTATAATGATGATAATAAAAATAAGAAACACAGACTACATAAAACCTTAGGGCGCTGACAGCGGGTTTTGATGGAAACAGCTTAAAAGAAGTGTTGAGGCTGATGGAGAGCACATACGGCGGATGGCTTTACCTCATGCAAAGGGACGTTGTCCTGCAGGACAATTACGGTCATTATTTGAAGCTCTTTGATCGGTGTCCGTAGGTACAGCATGAGTTGGCTCCTTATTGGCCGGTTATTTTTCATAAACCTTTTGATGATATGCCAAACCAGGCCAAAGGAAGAGAGGTGAGGGACGTCCACGACCACGTGAGTCTCTGTCATCTCCAGCGGCTTCAAGATGCTCATTCCCTCATCAGAGATGTCAGCCACAGACAATGCGCCATCCTTCATCGCTGTGAAGGCAAAGAGCTGATCAACATTGGTTCATCTGCACCTAATGTATCCCTTAAAGGTCCCCTATCATGCTCTTTTTCATCAATATATTATAGTTCTCAGATATATACAAAACATGTCTTTGAAGTGTTTGGCTCCAAACACCAAACAGATCATTGCAGCATTACCCATAATCCCCTCTGTTTCAGCCCTGTTTCCAAAGTGCTGATTCTCTGTCTGTTACTTTAGATGAAAATAAGGAGCCCCTCCCCACGCCCCTCTGAGGGAGATTTGGTTGGTTACAAAGAACTCAATGGTGCTCTAGGAGGAGATTCAGGTGATAAGGGTGGAGGGGGGGGGGGGTTACCTTGGTTGCTGATTGGCTAATGGTTACACAAGCCCAAAAAAAAATCGTTATGACATCATAAAGTGGCCAAAATCTGATCAGCTCATTTTCAGACAGGTTTTTATATAAATGGATCAGGACAAAAAGATCTCTCAACTCACAGGGAACACATATGTATGTATAAAAGACATGAAAAAGTGGATTTTGCATAATAGGTGACCTTTAAAATGTGTCTAATGTCATCAACATCGGAGCCTCCCAACAGCTGCTTTATAACTTTTCACAGGTTTTCGATATTACTTGGTCCTACTCGGTATCCGAAAAATGCATATCCTAGCATTGCAGATGTCTTTACCTTCCTTTGTTTCACTGTGGGGGAAGCGGAGCTGAGTTAGGGCGTCCTCGACAGCACTCTTGATTTGGAACAGCGGCCCTGCAGGCGTCTTTCCGCCTGAGTTGAGGAGGTCTTCGTCCCAAATGAGGGTCATGTACGTCAGCTCTGCCTCTTTAGCCATTACGAACACCAGGTTAGTCAAATCACACCGGAACACACCAGGACCAGGGAACTTGTACCTGGAGACATAGAAGGGACACACTTTTATAACAAGCATTTATTGAGCTGTTGCTCAAATGATGTGTTTTCACTCAGAGCTTCATCGGCACAGTTAGCACAACATGTTGATTTTAACATAAAACCAACAAAAAAAGTCGGTTTTACTGTGTAGCAACGGCTGAAACTGCGGCGACAACAACTTAACTTAAAATGACGGCAGCACTGATCGAGGTTTCCTGTAACTTTCCAAGTATGTTCACATTTTCCTTTCCATAAACCACTCTTTAAACACTGCCGAAGCCCATACTAGAGGCTTCTCAATACTCAAATTTCCCCTTCTCGACTCCCCTCCTCGGTTCCCCTCCTCGAGACTTAGACCCGCCCACAGGAGATGCGAGCGGAGGACCGAGGAGGGGAACCGAGGAGAGAGGAGGTGAAGCAACAGACGTTTAAAGAAATGAGAACTCCTCTCCTCTGAGCGGTCATTTTAAAGAGACGTCCGTTCATTATTACGTGGCAACAGCTGCATCAGCTGTCGAGTGTTTTGTCATAGCACTGTATCTCTGTTAGATCAGCTGAACATTGTTCCCCCACATATTTACTTTGAATTCATTGAGAGTGCGGTATAATGAGACAATAACAGGCTACAGATGCGGACACACACACACAAATATATTTATATAAATATATACAATTTAAAGTATGAGAGCACTCTCATAATAACGTAACACAATCAGAGACTGGATATAACCCCCCCTCTCTCTGGTCGCTGAAATGGGGAATTGAAATTACGGGCCAAAAGTTGTATTTACAAGTAGGCCTATTAAAAGTAAGCAGAGGACACCAAACCAACTGAGACCCGTCTGTCCGCCGCATTTACGCACTGTACAACACACACCTACACACTGTACAACACACACCTACACACTGTACAACACACACCTACACACTGTACCACACACACCTACAGCTCCGAAAGCATAAGCCGTTGTGTATTTTATTATGTGAAGCAATGGTCTTAGAAAAATATCGACTCTTTGTTTGTATATATCTACTAAACTAAAGCAAATAAAGAGAGTAGGCCTGTTATACTGAGTGATATATATTATACACACTGCTCTGCTTTCTGCATGGACCTTACAGCTGTTCTCTCTCTGGAAACATCGCGACGCGATGAAAGCAGTTTCTAAAATAATATCCAGCTGCATAGCTGTCATTGGCTGAGATAAGTCCGGCCGTGCGTCACGCCTCCACCGTTCCCGGAAATGCATCCGTGGAGGAGCCGTGGAGGAACCATCAGTGTATCCTCGGTTATAGCTCCTCCAGAGAGCCTCCTCGACGCTCGATGCTCGGTCCTCGGTGTGCATTTAGAGAAATGAGACGTCCTTCAAAATGGCGCGCTGAAATTCATTTCCGGGTCACTACCGGAGGACCGAGGAGTCGAGGAGGGGAAATTTGAGTATTGAGAAGCCTCTACTGCGTTCCCTTCAGTGTTTACTTCCTGTCTGTCTTCTTCTGCTGTTCCGGTTTGGTTAGGGTTAAAATCAGAACTCAAATATTGTTTTACTTCACAACCCCAAAATGTTTTTCTCGTGTGCCCCTTATCCTCTTCCATAAAAATTACGATTGAAGAAGTATGGTGTTTGACGAAGGAGAACTAATGTGTGTAACATCACAGCTGACGTTTCATTGACCGGACTATTTTGTGCGGACTAACAGAAAGCACATGGTCCCTTCATCAGAGCGTCCTTATAATAACAGACCTCTCCCTTTTCCAATTAACGGATCAGAATGACCGATCAAAGACTTTCGGATGGGGGATTTCCAACTGATCAGGTGGAGAGAAAGTCTTACCAGTCGGCAACAACAACCTGATTAATGTGAGGTGTTACAATTGGAAAAGCTTGAAAGCCCCTGCTATTTGCTATTTCATGCATAGAGGCATTATTTAATATCTACTGGAAAGAGCCTTATATGAAATACCTGAGCATTATACTAAATAAAGACAATGCAATGCGTCATGTTATGGGATTACCTGTATAGAGGTTGTTGGAACCTGCATTGAAACACTGCAGGTGAGAAGGTTACAAAATCCTGGAGTTATGAGAGGAAAACATTTGGTTATTTTCACAGAGATGAAGATATCAATTCTACCTTAAATAACAAAAAACACAATTCTAGAGCATTACATCTTAAGAACAAACAAAATGTAGTTAGTCAGGATCCTCCCAATCACAAGCACAACAGTAACAGCCAATCACAGCACAGTAATGATAGCCAATCACAGCACAGTTATACTAGCCAATCACAGCACAACAGTACCAGTCAATCACAGCACAGTCATACTAGCCAATCACGGCACAGTTATACTAGCCAATCACAGCACAACAGTACCAGCCAATCACAGCACAGTCATATTAGCTAATCACAGCACAACAGTACCAGCCAATCACTGCACAGTAATACCAGCCAATCACAGCACAGTCATACTAGCCAATCGAAGCACAGTCATACTAGCCAATCACAGCACAGTAATACCAGCCAATCACAGCACAGTTATACTAGCCAATCACAGCACAACAGTACCAGCCAATCACAGCACAGTGATACCAGCCAATCACAGTACAGTCATACTAGCCAATCACAGCAAAACAGTACCAGCCAATCATAGCACAGTAATACCAGCCAATCACAGCACAGTCATACTAGCCAATCGAAGCACAGTAGTACCAGCCAATCACAAGCCGGCTAATACCGGCCTATCAGAGCACATTGGGGCGGGACTTAGCTCACAGCACATGAGCAGTTAAAAAATGTTATATTATTATTTCTTTATTTATGTATACATTTTTAACTAACATATATTTTTTTGTATTTGATCTATTCACCAATACAACAAAGCAATTGCCTTTGTTAATTCCATTTTTTACGAGTAGGTATACTACACTTTTTACAGATTTTTCACAATAGCTGTTAACGAATAAAAAGTAAGCTCACAGAATTAAATTAACCATTAGTTAAATGTTATCAGTGGTTAAACAGCATTAAATATACTTCTCGCTGAACCACTGCTCCTCTTTCACCTGTGCTTCTGTTGTCCCATCCTCTACGCCATAGCGGTCATCTGATGGAGAGAAGAAGTGAAAGAGAAAGCGCCATAATAATAATTAGTACACTTTTGAAAAAAAAGTGTTTCGTATGAAGAAACGCTCCTTTTGCCAGACATTAATGTTCACAAGTTTAAAGGTCTCCTATTATGCTATTTGTAGGCATATATTATGGGTCTCAGATATATACAAATATAAAAAAAACCTATATATGATGCGTTATGCTCAAAATACCAAACAGATCATGCATTTTAGACACCCCTCATATATCCCTCTATTTCAGCCCTGTTAGAGAACTGCTAGCCTGGGTCCTTGGCTTGAAAAAAAGGAGGCGGAGCTAATGCCTGCTCAGAATTACCCGGCAGATTCAGCTCAATGCTGCCGTGATTAAATGCCATCATGTTCCAAACCACATCAAGGATTATTTCTGAAACGGTAAGGAGCTCAAATGCTTTTTCTCTCTCAGGTTTATCACAAGGTGAGTTTTTTTATTTCCTGCTGTTTTACACATGCTATCTCCAGTACAGGTTAGCTCTGAGTGTTAGCGATGCTTGCTAATATAAACAAAGATGACCAAAACAGGCATTGTTCCCCGTTTTTAGAGATTTGGGTACGGAGGAAAAGAGAGAAGGTTTTATTTTCTGACTTCCCGACACACTGGGGACACATATTGATGTATACAAGACATCAAAAAGTGCATTTTGCATGATAGGTCCCCTTTAATGAATGGAGGATATGGTTTCAATACTCACAGGTGTTTGATTTCTCAGGCTTGGTCTCGTCGCCCTCCAGCCTGTAGGGATGTCGAGGGTGAGAATTATTTCAATAGTCGTTCTTTTAACTATTACAACATGTCCTCTGGCAATAGTTTACATGTCTACGGTATTGAAGCGTTTGTATGGTGCTTTGAATAAAAGCAACAGCTGAATAACATGTTATGATGATGCCAAAAGAGCCCAGCAAGAGTTCATTTAAAGGGGTCCTTTTATGCTTTTTGGGGTCTTCCCTTTCATGTAGTGTGTTATGTAGGTATTTGTGCATGTAAATAATAATAATAGTTGTTTAATGTTTATATGTTCATGTACTCAAAGATGCTTTACAGTGTAAGGGAGGGTGGACAAACAAAGACAGTCAGCAGGCAATTATTTTGGGGGGGGGGGGGGCTTATGGATAGACAGAGGTGATGGTCTACAAAGGCTAAAATCCATGTGTTGAATTTGTTGTTGAGAATATGGCCTCTTAAACCCTTGTATTGTACTCTACTGTGTTTCTTTACTGAACCTTTCCGTACTCTAAATGACAGAGATATCACATGACATCAAAACTGAGTCCTCTTCTGGTCAGGTGACACCACATAGACTCTTCCTTTGTGTCTGAGGGTCCAAGGATTATTACTGAAGACCGGAGGTACCCTTACCAAATCCTCTCCACATACCGAGGAGGGCTGGTGGCTCTAGGATTGTCCTTTCTTAAATCATCCATAGTCTCGGGTCTGACAGATGCACTGGTAATACTGGAAACACACACACACACACACACGCACACACACACACACACACACACACACACACACACACACACACACACATACATACACACTTTAAATGCAATTCCTTTAAATCAGAGCCATCTTAATGGTTAACTTTGGTTTAAATACAACACATTAGTGAAATCTCAGACAGGTTGGTCTCCATTTTGACCGCATTGCATGCAGGAATGCTTGCTCATAAACCAGGAAACGGAAAAAGTTACATTTAAAGAAGTCACATTGGACTCCAGGAGGTTCCTTTCTTCATCAAGATTGTGTTTTTCTGTCTAACAGTATAACAGGCTGAATAATAATCGTGTAAATGGTTTTAACACTCACCCTGTTTTTTCCTCCTGCTTTGTCGAAGTACGAAATGGAGTCTGCCTCTCTTACTTCATACTTTCACTTTTAAAGTCCCTTCCTGTCTGAGTTCCTCACTTTGTTACACAACAGGGGTTTTTTGTCAGTTGGTCTCAAGTTACACAGTTTCAGGAAGTAAATCCTGGAAGATAGACATAGATAAGAGAAATACAAGTCCAGTTTTGGTGTAAAAGGAGTTGAATCCTACTACTACTACATCTACATGTGTGTATTGATGACATATAATATATCACTGTTTACATTACAGTTTATTCATTCTACACGTAGGCTACGTAGCACCAAAAATATTGTTATGTCTTATTCATATTTTACATCTGGCTTTCTATTCATACAACACAAATTAGTTTTATGACGAGGGTCTGAGGAATAACATGTTTGTGTTTCCAACAACTGCTTTAGTTACTTATACTGTATAATAAATGAATACAGGAAGTACACATTGTCCTGGCGCTGTGTAGGCAGTAAGACTGGATCAGTGACGCCATCTACTGTTTGTCTCAAAGAACTGATAATAGAATAACTGCTGTGGATGGTGAAAAGCATGCACAAAGAGAAGAAGAAACAGGAACCACAGAAGGGACATTTACATTCTGCATTTGACCCATCATAGTGTTAGGAGCAGTGGGCTGCCATATGTGCGCCGCCCGGGGAGCAATGTAGGGAACGGTGCCTTGCTCAGGGACACCTCTGTAGCACTTAGTCTTTCCGGGACTTGAACCGGTGGTCTTCCAGTTCCCATTCAAGTCATACGAACCTCACCACCCCATCAAAAGCATTCACTTTTGAAAATGTTCTCAAAATTCAGTGCAAGATGGAGGAGAATTCAGATGTATTTAAAACAGCTATTATGCTCATTTATATTGTGTCCCTCTACTGTGACATGTCTCAATGCTTTAATGTTCAAAAAGCAATTTTTTCAATAATATTTGCCTTTTTGGCTCCGACAGTCGTCTGTAGAATTCCACAAATCACAATGTGTTTTAAAGGTTATTTACAGTATTTTGCTGTAACACTGTAAATGTCCCTGCTGTGGGACTAATAAAGAAATTCGGATTCTCTGGTCTCGAGTATCTGGCACAACAACAATAGGAAAGTTTCATATTATATTTCAGAGTTTTATAAAAAAAGTTGAGGACTCACCCTGCACTTGGGGTTGTATACACATTTTGCTTCCAGTAAAATATAATTGGACACAAGCCATACCGAGATGCATAGGCTCCATTCATGAGTTGAGTCTCATGTTGTACATGTACACGGCCAAAAAACACTTCTTGGTCATCTTGTTCTCCCAATGCACATTCTGAGCTATTGGTGTGAATGCCGATACATATTTCCGACACATCCACACATTCACCGTTTTTTAACACAAAGCGAGGAAAATCAAATCACACTTTCCTAGCAGTTTAACTGAAACACCAGCAGCCAATACAAACACACGGTCAAACTGTGACCAGACATAACTGGCACTCATGAATATTTCATCACATTTGTATTCTTTTAGTCGTAGTCTCTTTCACCTCTATGCTATATTTTGAATAACTTGCATTATACATTTGTTACTGGCCACCAATCAGACTCTACATATTTTGTGCAAAAGCACATTTATTTTACTTTAATTTGATGCTGCTACTACTACTTTGGTAAGGGAAATCCCTTTATAATGTTTTACATATATCCGTTCATATTGTTTTAAATATGAATGATAAGGAATTTGGTTATTTTCATTATTTCAGACAATTTCCGATGAAAAAAACAAACCTTAAAAATGTAAAATAATAAGACATTTGACAGTTTAAAGAGCACTTCTGCACCAAAACAGTATTTTCCTTTAATAACTAAAAAACAAATGTTAATCTATTCCATTTTTTGTCAGGAGGTTGGATCTAAATGCAGTAACAGAGGGAGGCAGGAATATGGAATCAAAATCGAGCTTTTAATTAAGAAAAAGGTGATGACAAAAAACAAGGGGAACCAGGCTAATCAACAAAATCAAAAAACTGAACCTAAATCATAGACTCGTTTACACCCTTTGTTAGATTGTAAACCAGGGTGCGGAGCAGGGTGACGGCATCAGGATCATTGAAGTTAATCAGTGTTCAAGGTTCAAGATCCAAGGCTTCTATTGTCATGTGTACATTAGCTACAGTGTAGTTAAGACAATGAAAATCTGAGGTCACAGGCTCCTCCAACAGTGCAACACAACAAAACAGATAATGGTGCAAGTAAAGAAAAATAAAATCGAATAGAAATAGTGCAGAATAGTCTATAAGTAGTTGGAATATTGATATAAGTTGTAAACAGATGAATGTTATGGATGTTCTTTCAAAAGTTCAGGTGTTTAACGGTCATATGGCCTGTGGGATGTGTTAAATATTATCTGTGTTTATTATATCTTACATATTTCACAATAACATTTAGACTGATTAAATAAATGTTTTGGGACCTGTTAAGTTGGATTAGTTTAAGGGAAGGTTAAAGGTTATTAATAAATATATTCAATCAATCAATCAATCAATGTTTATTTATATAGCCCAATATCACAAATGTTACATTTGTCTCAGTGGACTTCACAGTTTGTACAAAATATCAGTATGACAATACGACACCCTCTGTCCTTAGACCCTCACATCGTACAAGGAAAAAATTCCAGAGAAAACCCACAGTTTAAAGGGAAAAATGGGAGAAACCTCAGGGAGAGCAACAGAGGAGGGATCCCTCTCCCAGGACGGACAGACGTGCAATAGATGCCGTATGTCAATTGAAAAGATAATACATTTGCAACATAGGTAGTCCAAATGTTTGGAAATGCATGTGTGTATAATAGGAAGATGAATCCACGAGGATATCCATCCAGGACCTATGATCCGGGACCACAGCCACGACTCAAGATCCAGGGCTCGCGATCCAGGACACAGGACCGCAGCAACAGGATCATCCATGACTCTGGATCCCGGCGTATATAGACACCAAAAAGAAAGAAAAGAAAAACACAGGTATAGACAGAGAGAAGGAAGAAGTAAGATGTCCCCCGACAAACTAAGCCTATATCAGCAAAACTAGGGGCTGAATCTAATCAGCCCTAACTATAATCTTTATCAAAAAGGAAGGTCTTAAGCGCACTCTTAAAAACGGATAGGGTGTCTGCCGCCCGAACACAAACTGGAAGCTGATTCCACAAATGTGGAGCTTGATAAGAAAAGGCTCTGGCTCCCATTGTACTTTTAGAGACTCTAGGAACAACCAACAACCCTGCATTCTTGGAACGCAATGCCCTAGTAGGACAGTAGGGTATAATGAGTTATTTAAGGTAAGATGGCGCCTGCCCATTAAGGGCTTTGTAGGCGAGAAGAAGAATTTTAAATTCTATCCTGTGTTCTATAGGGAGCCAGTGTAAGGCAGCCAGAACAGGAGTAATGTGGTCCCTTTTCCTAACTCTGGTTAGTACACGAGCTGCAGCATTTTGAATCAGATGAAGCGACTTGACTGACTTCTTGGTACACCCTGATAATAAGGAGTTACAATAATCCAGCCTTGAAATAACAAATGCATGGACTAGTTTCTCTGCATCGTTTTGAGGCAAGATATGCCTGATTTTTGCAATGTTACGTAGATGGAAGTAGGCGGTCCTTGAAATTGATTTTATGAAAACCCTTTATTAATAGTTTTCACCAGTGCATACACATCAGACACAGGGATGAAAGTAATCTCCAAACTTTACCAAGCTCTTCAAGATATTAAAAAGGAAAATACTTTCTATATAAAACACAAATGGGAAAACGAAACAAAAAAAACCATCCCTGACGAAGTTTGGACAAGCTACTGTACTTTTCAATGGAAGATCTCTAGCTCAGGCACCTACAGAATGTTTAGTTGGAAGATGCTGAGCAGGTATTTTTTCAGCCCTGCCCAGTCATCACATCAGCTAGGGCCCCCCAGCTGCTGGAGGAAATGTGGTTCTCAGTTAGCACATCACTACCATTTGTTTTGGACTTGCCCTTTAATAGTAACTTTTTGGCAAAAGATCCATGTAGAAATTGAAATAATACTACAGGAAAAAATCCCATTAAACTGGGACGAATTTCTATTTGGGCTCGTACATTCAATCCCCTCAAACTTAAAAACAAAACAATTATTTGGAATTCTTACTGTTGCAGCAAAAAAAGCAATAACTAGAAAATGGCTCAAAGCAGACATCCCCTCTCTTGACAACTGGTATGACAAAATCCATGAAATCTATATCATGGAAAGAATCACATTCTCAATGAGGCTACAGGAAAACACATTTGAGGAAATATGGAAAAAGTGGAGAATTTACATATCCCAAAGACGACCATCCCTTGTTTGACTGTTCCTATAAACCGATTGAATGTATATAGATGTGTATGTATGGACACATGTATGTGTGTGTGTATTGTATGCTTATATGCATGTTGATATGAATGCATATGTACATGTGTAGACATTTGCTATTTCAAACAACCCCAGTGTACTTTTTCGTTTTTATTTTATTTTGACTAATTTTGTTTGCTATTTCATTTGTCACTTTCGGGTCTCTAAAAATATATGATTTGAAAAACTGTACTTGTATTATAATGTGACCCCAAATAAATAAAGAATTAAAAAAAAAAAAGAAATTGATTTTATGTGGGCGTTAAAGGATAAATCCTGATCAAATATAACACCAAGATTCCTTACAGTCTCACTGGAGGCCAAATTAATGCCATCCATAGTTAGTATATCCTTAGATAATTTGTGTCGTAGATTCTTCGGGCCAAGTACAATAACTTCAGTTTTGGTCGTGTTTAACATCAAAAAGTTTAAGGTCATCCACGTTTTAAGTCCTTGAGGCAGTCTTGAATTTTATTTAGATGATTAATTTCATCAGGCTTGATTGATAAATATAGTTGAGTATCATCCACATAACAGTGGAAATGTACTGAATGATTCCTTATAATATTGCCTAACGGAAGCATATATAATGTGAACAAAATAGGTCCGAGCACTGAGCCCTGTGGCACTCCATGGCTAACTTTGGTTTGCGTGGAAGATTCATCGTTGACACGTACAAACTGAGAGCATTCAGATAGATAGGACCTAAACCAGCCTAAAGCAGTTCCCGGTATGCCAACTAAGTGCTCTAGTCTTTGCAATAAGATATCATGGTCGATAGTATCAAATGCAGCACTGAGTTCGAGCAAAACGAGAATAGAGACAAGTCCTTTGTCTGAGGCTATTAGAATGTCATTTGTGACTTTAACCAGAGCTGTCTCTGTGCTATGATGTGTTCTAAAGCCAGACTGCAAATCTTCAAATAAATCATCGTTTTTTAAGTAATCACACAACTGTTTTGCGACTGCTTTCTCAAGAATTTTTGAGAGGAACGGAAGATTAGAAATAGGTCTATAGTTGGCTCCAGCACCTCGTCTCCTGTTGGCTCTCCAGCCGACGCCAGCTCCCCGAGTCCTGTCGGCATACCGGCCGACGCCAGCTCCCTGTGTCCTGTCGGTGTATCGACCGACTCAAGTCCCCTCTCAAGTCTCCTCTCGAGTTCCCTCTCAAGTCTCCTCTCGAGTTCCCTCTCCAGTCACCTCTCCAGTCCCCTCTCCAGTCTCCTCTCGAGTTCCCACTCGAGTTCCATCTCAAGTCCCCTCTCCAGTTCCTACTCGAGTCCCTACTCAAGTCCCTACTCAAGTGCCGTTGGAGGTTCCGCTGGGGGTCCTGCCAACTCCATGTCCTGTCCCGTTGGGGGCCCTGCCGACTACTCTTCTGCCGGGGGTCCTGCCAACCCTATGTCCTGTGCCGTTGGAGGTCCCGCCGACTACTCTTCTGCCGGGGGTCCTGCCAACCCTATGTCTTGTGCCGTTGGAGGTCCCGCCGACTACTCTCCTGCCGGGGGTCCTGCCAACCCTGTGTCCTGTGCCGTTGGAGGTCCCGCCGACTGCTCTTCTGCCGGGGGTACTGCCAACCCCATGTCCTGTTCCGTTGGAGGCCCTGCCGTCACCTGTCTCGCCGGGGGTCCTGCCAATTCCTTGTCCTCTTCCGTGGGGGATCCTGCCGACACCTGTCCCGCCGGTGGTCCTGCCTACTCCTTGCCCTGTTGCGTTGGTGGTCCAATCGACTCCAGCCCTTGCTCCATCCGGGGTCCCATTGACACCAGCCCAGGTCATGTCCAGGATCCCGTCTACGCCTGTCCCCACCGGCTCCGGTTCCTGTCCGGCCGACACCGGGTCCTGCCCGGCCTACGGAGCTGTCCGGTCTTCGCCCTCGAGCCCGGCTCCCTGAGAGCCGCGGTCCTCGCCTTCGGGCCTGGCCCCCTGACTCTTCCCGCCGCTGCCTTCGCCCTCATGCTCGGCCTCCTGAGTTCGCCCGCTGTGGCCCTCGCCTCATTATGAACTCTGCCTTGCCCCTGGGCCGTCCGCCCGAGACCCCCTCCATGGACTCTGCCTTGCCCCCGGGCCGTCCGCCCGAGACCTATTCCTCGAACTCTGCCCTGCCCCCGGGCCGTCCGCCCGAGATCCCCTCCATGGATTCTGCTTTGCCCCGGGATGTACATCCTACTCCCTATGTTTGATTTCCTGTCGTTAGTTTCCATCCTGTGTCTGATTGTGCCTCATTGTGTTCACCTGTTACACTGATGAACAATATAACCAGAAAATCAAACAAATGGCAAATTATCAATCATCCATTTTAATAGCAGAAGCCTGTATGCAAACTTTAACAACATCAGAGAATATTTACATACATTTACTAATCCATTCAACATAATTGCTATTTCTGAAACATGGATCAACAACGAAAAGGACATAGACTTTGAGCTGGATGGATATGAGCTCAGATACAAAAATAGACCAAATAAGGGAGGAGGAGGAGTTGCCATCTATGTGGATACAACTCTGCACTTTAGTGTGGTGGACAGTATGACAACTGTGGTTGACAATTTATTAGACAGTATAACAATTGAAATCTATAAGGAAAAAAATTTAAAATGTCATAATTAGCTGTATATATAGGACGCCAGGGTCAAGCATTGTTCACAGACTGGATGGAGGGCATGTTTTCTAAAATAAATAACAAAGCTATTTTCATATGTGGAGATTTTAATATTGACCTGCTTAATCCTAGCAAGCACACAACTACTGATGCATTTATCAATACAATGTATAGTCTGAGCCTATTTCCGAAAATAACTAGACCCAGTAGAGTGACATCCCATTGTGCCACCCTAATAGATAATATATGTAACAATGACATTGAAAACCACACAGTAAGTGGCTTATTAATCAATAATATCAGTGATCACTTGCCAGTGTTCACAGTCTATGATAGCAACTACAGGAAAAATAAGCCAGAAAAAGGATACAGATGGATGCGATCAGAGGAATCCATCAACGCACTGAAAAATGAATTGCTGGAACAGAATTGGGACAAACTTTACCAAGAAAGAGACATTGATACTGCTTATGAAACTTTCCTACGGATATTTAGGTCATTATATGAGAAAAACTGCCCAATTAAAGAATACAGCAGAAAACAAAATTATATTCATTGTCCATGGATCACAAAGGGATTACAACATGCCTGCAAAAAGAAAAACACACTATATAGGGACTTCATTACACAAAGAACTCAAAGTGCAGAGGATAAATATAAAAAATATTCAAATAAGTTGACTAATATTATAAGAACAAGCAAGAAAGACTATTATAAGGAATTAATAGATTAAAAAAAGCAACATTAAAGGAATATGGGATATACATAACAGTATTGTAAGAGAAAACTCTAAACAAAAAGGGTATCCTGAGTATTTTACTGATAACTATAATGAAAAGTATAATATAAATAATGTAGCTAACAACTTCAATCAATTCTTTGTGAATGTTGGACCCGATTTGGCGGGAAAAATCCCTGATCCAGGGACAACTGGGGAACATCAAGACGATGTATTGGAGAGAAAACCCTGCTCAATGTTCATTAAACCAGTTGATGAAAGAGAGATATTAGATATTGTTCAAAAATGTAAAAATAAAATGTCTACTGATTATAATGACATTCATATGACATTAGTAAAAATGGTCATTGGGGGGATTTCTAAACCATTAACGCACATCTACCTGTCATTCCAAACCGGTACTTGTCCAAACAAAATGAAAATAGCTAAAGTCACCTACACAACTGGGAACAAGCACCACTTCACAAACTACAGACCTATCTCTTTACTTCCCCAATTTTCAAAAATACTAGAAAAAGTATTTAACAACAGACTGGACACATTCACAGAAAATCACAAATGAATCACGGACAGTCAATACAGATTCAGATCAAACAGATCAACATCACTGGCAATTATGGAATCAATTGAGGATATCACAGATGCCCTTGAACACAACAAATATGCAGTAGGGATTTTTATACATATTTAAAAAGTTTTTGACACAATCAACCATGTATATAAATTAGAAAGGTATGGTATCAGGGGTATACTTTTAGACTGGATTAAAAGCTATTTAAGCAATAGACAGCAGTATGTGAAGTTGGGAAATGACTGTTCTTCATGTTTGGAAATTGCTTGTGGTGTCCCCCAGGGGTCAGTGTTGGGTCCTAAATTGTTTATACTGTACATCAATGACATCTGTAGAGTATCCAATGTACTGAGGCTAGTTTTGTTTGCTGATGATTCAAATATATTCTGTTCTGGGGAGAATTTAGAACAGCTAGTGGAGAACATAGAAAATGAAATGCACAAATGGTTTGACAAAAATAAACTATCATTAAACTTGAGTAAAACAAAATGAATGCTGTTTGGTAAACATAGAACAAAAACACAAATGCAAATAAAAATAGATGGGGTTGAAATTGAAAGAGTCCATGAAATTACATTTCTTGGGGTAATAATAGATGACACGATAAGTTGGAAATTACACATAAAGAAGAAGAAGATTCAACTTATTGTCATTACGTAGTACACTATGTAACGAAATGGTTTCTGTGCATTTGACCCATCCTAGAGTTAGGAGCAGTGGGCTGCCATTATGAACGGTGCCCGGGGAGCCGTGTAGGGAACGGTGCCTTGCTCAGGGACACCTCTGTAGCACTTGGTCTTTCCGGGACTTGAACTGGTGACCTTCCAGTTGCCAAGCCAAGTCCCTATGGACTTCGCCACCACCGCCCTCAAAACATGTACAATCAAAGCTGTCAATAAGCATTTCCATACTAAACAAACTAAAACAAGTTCTAGATCAGAAATCACTTCACATTCTCTACTGTTCAGTAGTCTTACCATATCTGACTTACTGTGCTGAAATCTGGGGCAATAACTACAAAAGTTCTATACATGCAGTATCTATTCTACAAAAAAAAAGCCATAGGAATCATTCACAATGCCAAATACCTTGATCACACTAACGAATTATGTCTGCAGTCAAAATTGTTAAAATTCACAGACCTGGTAGAATTCCAAACGGCACAAATCATGTTTAAGGAAAATAATAACGTTTCACCTGGAAAGATCCAAAAAGTATCCACTCAACGAGTGGGGGGATAAAATTCAAGGAGACAATTTCAATTCTAAATTCATAGGGTCCGTACAACCAGAAGAACATTTTGTATCTCAGCCTGTGGAGAGAGACTATGGTACAGTGTGAATGTGGAGCTAGAGCGATGTCCAGACATTAACCAGTTCAGGAGGAAATACAGAGAAATTATTTTCTCGAGGTACAGGGATGGGGAAGGTGTTTGACTGTGTATATGTGTGAGTATGTAGGTGTGTATATGTATGTGCATACATGTGCGTGTGTGGTGTGTGTGTGTGTGTGTGGTGTGTGTGTGTGTGTGTGTGTGTGTGTGTGTGTGTGTGTGTGTGTGTGTGTGTGTGTGTGTGTGTGTGTGTGTGTGTGTGTGTGTGTGTGTGTGTGGTGTGTGTGGTGTATGTACATATGTGTATATGTCAATCAAGAGGTAAAGCAGATTAATAATAATAATAATAACAATAATTGTACTGTCTATCTCCCGACAGTATGGGTGAAATCAAGATGAACGAAAACAACTCCTAGTTTTGATAATTTAATCAAATCCAAATAGGTTGTTAACCTTAGAAGAAAAAGGACAATAACAATACAACAATTAGGATCACACATATCCAATACAACTTAACTTCCTAGTGGCCTCTCCTGATTCCTCAATCTCAATGACGTTCATTTATTTATCCTCTCTATTTATACCATATCAATAAACCCTGCGAATCTCCACCCAGATTTAAAGTCACACTCACATAAACTGAACCCCATTAATTGAACCCTCATACAACCAGCACAAAACATGAGTTTACAGCACAATAATAATTAATAATAATGATCATTATTGCAGATTATAGATTATCAATAAATCATTTAGGTACAAGGGGATGCGATTAAATAAGTTATACTTCTTCTCACTCCTGTTCGAACACTAGATGTGGGACTGTTTATGTTGCTAATGCTGTTGTTGTTGTAAATGTAATTTTGTTTTGATTTCTCTTACATGACTATGCACTGCAACATTTGTTTTGTTTTGTAATTATTTATTTTACTTGTTCGAAATAAAAAAAAATGTATCAATCAATGAATGAATATAATTGAATACAGTTTGCCTCAGGGACACAGTGTGACCTCTATCTCTCAGGAATACTATGTTTAGCCTCCTGTAAGACAACTGGAATAGATTATACTTATGTAACTAAAATAACTGAAAAACCTTCACATACATTCAAACTTGTTGTGCATTAAACTACATTCAATTTCATTTAGCTAGTATTGTTCTAAATGGGCTCTTAAAGTGCTATAATTCCTTTATTCAGTGTGTTGGGTCAAGGTACAAGCAACACAGGTGGGTATGAAGTCAGTAATGGAAAATGTGTAGATTTGTCTCCTGTCATGATAGGCCAGTACCAGTCTCTTGAAACCAATGTGGGCATTAGCAACTGAAGGGAGCAGTGTGGGAGAACTGAGGGAGGTTGTACAGTAGTCGGGCAATTTTCCAATCTCGGTCCTGGAATAAAAAGAGCGAACATACTTTTGTAATACAACCAACAACCACTTTAAACAAATATCTTACAAATAACTGTGAAGAAGGCCTGTTAGAGAAGTGCCGATTCTGTGTCTGTAGCTGCTGGCCCCGCCCCCTTTTGAGCACGACAAGGCAAGCAGTGAGGTCTCCTCTCTGCCTGCAGATACTCAGCTAAATGCTGCCGTGATGAAACACCATATCATGTTCAAAACCACATCACGGATTATTTCTGAAACAGTTTGGAGCTCAAATGCTTTTTCTCTTTCCGGTTTACCACAAGGTGAGTTCCTTTTTTTATTTCCTGCTTTTTTACACAAACTCTCTCCAGTACAGGTTAGCGATGCTTTCTAATGTAAACAAAGACCATATTACTTCCAAAATGTTGCGCATTGTTTCTGATAGCGATGTTACTGATAGGGCCGTGGGCGTAAAGCCAGCCCACATTTCCAATATTACATCATATCGGACACAAATCTGGATCAGCTCCGTTGACGTGTCATTTTGCCAGAAGATATTATAAGAGGACTTTTTATCCAGTTGTATACCACATTTTGACCATATAACTTTTAGATACTTCTAATACTTACAGATCTTCTGTTTCTCAGCTGTGATCCACTTGTCATTGATCCTGCAGGGAAATAAATAGTAATAAATCTAAAAGAAAAACATATCATGGGAAAACCAACAGACTATCTTTTTAGCTTTTCTGTAAAGTCCTTTCTGTTAGACAGTTGCTTTCTTACTCAAATGTTGCTTTGCAGCTTACGTTATAATGTTTGTGTCAATCAGGTCTTGACCAAACCACAGCACTGAGCCTACTCTTGTTAAGATCTTAAATGACATGCCGTTAAAAACAAATATTAGCAGAATCTCAGTCTTGATATCTCAGTGCTGTTTTGACACTGTTGACCACATTTTACATTTTACTAGACCAACTGGAAAGACAGAAAGATAGACTTTCTGGCATAATACTAAATTGGTTTGAATCTTACAGGAAGCACAGTGACAACTTTGTTTGTTTCTATAGGTAATTACATATCTAAGAGTACACATTTGAAATGCGGAGTTCCTCAGGGCTCCATCCTGGGGCCTCTATTGTTTAACATCTTCATGCAACACTGGCTCAGTTAATTGAAAACAAAAACAAAGTTATTATCAGTTTGCAGATGACACTGCATTGACAAATCAATGATTGGAAATATTAAAACTTCCTTCAACAAAGAATAAACTGATGTAATAATTTGTTCAGCCAATGAGGAAGGAATACAATGTAATTGCTGAGCTCCAATCAGCATTGTTAAAACCCACAGAAAAGGACAGAAATCTAGGTGTATTCATATATTCAGACCTTTATCTCAAGAGTGAAATTAAGGCAATTACAAAGTCGGCCTGTTATCACCTTAAGAATATATCTATTATTCAATTACTTACTTTATATCTCAGCAGGATTTGGCCAAAACCTGTCCATGCATGCATCTTTAGTAGACTCGACCACTGTCTTTACATGTCTCACTGAAAAGTCAATTTGACAACTAAGGCTCATTCAGAACGCTTCTGCGCTAGAACTCACTAAAACTAAGAAGGTGGATCACATTACTCTTGTTCGTAGGTCTTTACAAAACAGATGGAGAAAATAGACTTTAGCATTAAGGTTGTCAGAGTGGATCAGTATGATATCAGCCCCTTCAGCTCAGTCAACACATCTCTCACATATTAATCTTAGTAAAGAAGTTAAATATGGAGAACTGACCTGAGAGTCTCCAGTCTACAGTCTGGACTCTCCAGAAGATCACTCAGCAGCTTCACTCCTGAATCCTGCAGCTTATTGTATTTCAGGTCCAGCTTTCTCAGATGGGAGTGTTTGGACTTCAAAGCTGAGGCCAGAGAAGCACAGCTGATCTCTGACAACCCGCAGAGACTCAGTCTGAATAAAGAAAAAACATGATGTAACTTTAGAAAACAATGCTCTTGCTAGAAATAATTCAAGTTGTAATAATGGTTAAAACACCTTTCACTAATTTAAAGGACAAAAAAAGTGGTGATTTCACGTCCTAAACGCTGCTCCATATACACAAACCCCCAGACATCATAAATCCTAAAGTTTAAAAAATGTGAAATATATCAGGACGAATTGTAAAGGAATGTAAACAAAAGACATCCTGAATATTTATTTTAGGAATAGTGGAGTATTAAATCCTCCCAGAAATGTGCATGGAATCTGGGGCAGACCACCAGGAATGAGGGCTTATGGGAAACAGGCAGTGGTGAAAGGACACGGGGGATGAACCTGACAGGACACGAAGGCCTAGAACCGGGTCAGGTGCTCTGACTGCTAGGAATCCTGATGCAGAACCCTGAGCTCTGGTTGGTCGTGCCTTGCGTCTTCTTCCATGAGACCTTGGAGTCTTGCTGAGGCTCCGAGGACCCCCATGCATTTCTTAATTGTCGTTTGTACTATTGGGCAGCCAACATGCGTTGTATTACCTTTTGGTCTAATTTCCACAATCAAGCCGACTGTCCGTCTTGGGTGGCAATGGAGTAGAGCTCCTTCAAAGAACTCTCTATCTTAGCATTGCTCAAATGTTCACTCCCTCTCCTTCCAAATAACTTGAGTTGTAATTGTTGTGGAATATTTTCCAAGGCCCATAACTTTGACCCAGTTTATCAGTTCAAACTTTCCTGACTGAGCACACGCACCTCGTAACCTTGGCTGTGTTCTGTCTCCCTGTTCCTGCCTGTTGACGTCAGCTGATAGAGGTGTTATGATTTTATCTTGTTATGCAGCAGTTTGATGATGCTCTCAGAACTAGTTAAATACATGGGTCTGAGGTAGAGTTCTTTAGAATTGACGTGGCAACTCTACCGTGAAATCAGAACCTCTGGCTCTTGGACTTGTGATGTGAATCCTCCGGCCGTAACTCCAAATAAACCTCCAGTGTTTGACATCGAAGCTCCAGCTCTTCCCGTGTCTCTTTCCTGAGTCGGTGACTCCCACTGCATTGCTGCTACACAGAAGTTTCCCTTACAGTAATCTGGTTGCTAGACACACAGTTCAGAAAACACCTCGACTTTCATGGTGCCTCTCTTTTAAGTCCTATTCTATCCATCCACCTTTTTCAACTTTCTGCATCTGACTTCGGGGTTTCTGGAATGGCAGAGGAGGGTTATCACATGTTTTAAGGATATTTGTATTAACCACAGCTTTGCTTCATTTGAGCAACTCTCTGAAATGTGAAGATCAACATAGCTTTGCCACGATCAATGAACTAAACCACAGAAGAAGAAAATAGACTTTAGCATTAAGGTTGTCAGAGTGGATCAGTATAATATCAGCCTGATTGCTGCAGCTCAGTCAACTCATCTCTCACATACTAATCTCAGCACAGAAGTAAAAGATGGGGAACTGACCTGAGAGTCTCCAGTCTGCATTGTGGACTCTCCAGAAGATCACTCAGCTGCTTCACTCCTGAATCTTGCAGATTGTTCCGACTCAGGTTCAGATCTTTAAGAGGGGAGGGGTTGGACTTCAGAGCTGAGGCCAGAGAAGCACAGCTGATCTCTGACAACCTGCAGCCACTCAGTCTGAATAAAGAAAAAACATGACTTTAGAAAACAATGTTCTTGATAGAAAATAATTCAAGGTTTAATCATTTGTTTAGAGCTGGAGAAGTTGAGAATGTAGGAGTTCAGAAAGTGAAAACTCAAAAATGTTTAAAACAGTTTGACACAAAACAAGAGCTCTTATTATTTTATATATGACACTACTTTAATCTATGTAATATAAAAGTGGTAACTTCCCATTCTAAACTATACTAACAGAAACATAATCAAATCAAAATTCCAATGTTTTCAAATATTTTAGGGTGAATTTAAAAGTAATGTGAATAACATCTAGAATATTTATTTTAGGAATAGTGGAGTCATAAAATCAAAGCATATTTAATGTAAACTAATTATTCAGTATAAGTATCAAGTATCTTCATAAGAATATTGGAAAAAGCAACAAATGTATTTGTTGGTATTTGATAGTTTTAATACAAATCTATATTCAATGTTTCTATATTTGTATATCATTTGTTTAAAAATAAATAAGGAGATTGTACATTTCAGGTGATTCAGAGGAAATTATATAGTGTATGATATTTCATGTTATATTTAAATGTAAAGATCATTATTGCTTATCATTATTCAGCATTAAGATGCTCAGTTTGGATCAGTGTAACATCAGACTCTGCAGCACAGTGTCAAAACAACTCTCACAAACTAATCTTAGCATCGAAGTAAAATATGGAGGACTGACCTGAGAGTCTCCAGTCTGCAGTCTGGACTCTCCAGAAGGACACACAACTGCTTCACTCCTGAATCCTGCAGCTTATTGTCTTTCAGGTCCAGCTTTCTCAGATGGGAGTGTTTGGACTTCAGAGCTGAGGCCAGAGAAGTACAGCTGATCTCTGACAACCTGCAGTCCCTCAGTCTGAATAAAATAGAAGCGAGTCAGAGGAAGAAACCCTCTTTATTTGTCACACATTCATGCACACAGCACAGTGAGATTTGTTCTCTGCTTTTAACCCATCCTAGTACCAGGAGTGTAGTACTAGGAGCAGTGGGCAGCTATTGTACAGCGCCCGGGGAGCAATGGGAGTGAGGGGGGAAGGGGTGTCAGGTGCCTTGCTCAAGGGCACCACGGAAGGGCAGGAAGTGAACTGGGACCTCTCCAAGTAGCAGTCCACACTCAATTTTAAGGTCTGGTCGGGGGCTTGAACCGGCAACCCTACGGCTCACAGTCCAAGCCCCTACTGACTGAGCCACTGCCGGAGCAGAAAGAAAACGGGATGTAAGTTTAGAAAGCAATGCTCTTGATTGAAATAATTAAAGGTTCAATAATTTGTTTAGCGCTGGAGAATTTGAGAATGTAGGAGTTAAGAAAGTGAAAACTCGAAATTGTTTAAAACTTTAAGATACAAACAATGAAAAACAGCTCTGATTAATATAAAGGACAAACACAAGTGTTAACTTCACATCCTAAAAATTGCTCCATCTACACAAACCAATTCAACTCAAAATGCCAAATGTGTAAGGATGAATTGTGAAGAAATGTGAACAAAAGAAATCCAGAAGATTTATTTTAAGGAATAGTGGAGTCCTAAAATCAAAGAAACTTCAGTTTAAACTAATTATTAAGTATAATCATCATGTAGCTTCATAAACATTTGGGGGAAAAGCAAATACTAAATATATTTCTTAGTGTTTTGTATTTTTTAACAACAATCTATATTCAATTATTTCTGTATTTTTATAAAAATATATTTTAAGAGAAAAAGGAGAATGTAAATTTCAGGTGATTCGGAGTGAATTATACAGAGTATGATATTCCTTGTGATATTTAAATTTGAAGATCAACATTGCTCCTCCACGGTCAATGAACTTAACCACAGAAGAAGAAAATAGACTTTAGCATTCATGTTTTCAAAGTGGATCAGTATAAATCCGCCTGACGTTTGCAGTCTCAACTCATCTCACTAATCTCAGCATAGAAGTAAAAGACGGAGAACTGACTTGAGAGTCTCCAGTCTGCAGTCTGGACTCTCCAGAAGATCACTCAGCTGCTTCACTCCTGAATCCTGCAGAGCGTTGTCTTTCAGGTCCAGCGTTCTCAGATTGGAGTGTTTGAACTTCAAAGCTGAGGCCAGAGAAGCACAGCTGATCTCTGACAAACTGCAGTCCCTCAGTCTGAATAAAGAAAAAACATGATGTAACTTTAGAAAACAATGCTCTTGCTAGAAATAATTCAAGGTTTAATCATTAGTTTAGAGCTGGAGACGTTGAGAATGTAGGAGTTCAGAAAGTGAAAACTTGAAACTGTTTAAAAACTTTTAAGATACAATAAATGAAAAACAGCTCTGATTAGAATACAATAGATACTTTATTGTCATTATACAACGAAATGCAGGTGCACTTAACGACTGGACTCCAAATATACAAACATTTGATAAATAGAATAAGAATAATACAAAATAAAATGTAAAAAAAGCTTGCATTCTACTGTATGCGCACATACTCCCACTTTACATGCCAACATTTTTACCATACACTCACTGCCACCGTATGCACTCAGTGAACATAAGTACTGTTTTGTGTTCATGGGGTGTATTTTTTGTTCAGAGATCATTATGGAGATGGCCCTGGGGTAGAAATTGTTCAGGAACTTTGAGGTGCGTGTTATTCTGAATTAGGTTATTCAGAGTGAAACATTCAGTGTATGATATTTCTTGTGATATTTAAATTTGAAGATCAACATAGCTCTGCCATGCAGGGGCGGTTCTAGGGCGGGGTGCAAGGGGGGACCAGTGCCCCCGTAACACTGACTTTGGACCCCCTGTGGCCCCCCCAGAAAATGAAAAGTTTATGATTAAACGATTTCTTGGCTGACGGAATAGGCGGAACTAACGTTATTTGTCATTCTAGTCGGACCCATTAGAGCGTAAAAACTGTAACTATAAGTGTCTGAAATAAATATTACATTACATTGCATTTAGCTGACGCTTTTATCCAAAGTGACTTACAATAAGTGCATTCGAAGAAGATTCTATATAAGAATCATATAAGTACATCAGGTTTCATAGAGCCTAAACATTTCAAGTGCTACTCAACTGGCTTTAGGTAAGCCAGTCCTTTATTAGTATATAAGTGCTTTGTTAGTAGATAGATAGATCTTTATTTGTCATTGTGCAGGTACAATGAAATTACAATAATAGTAATTTAGTAATTTAGTTAATAATTATATCGCTCGAAGTGGAGTCGAAAGAGATGAGTTTTCAGTCTGCGCCGGAAGGTGTGTAAGCTATCTGCTGTCCTGATTTCAATGGGGAGCTCATTCCACCATCTTGGAGCCAGGATAGCAAACCCACGTGTTTTTGCTGATGGGAACTTGGGTCCCCTTCGCAGCGAGGGTGCAGCGAGCTGTTTGGCTGATGCAGAGCAGAGTGCACGTGCTACCATGTGTACCAATAACTGTATTGCATTGTTTTCTTATACGCAATTACTTCATACTGTCTTTGTATTTTTCGTCCTGCATGTATTGTGCCCCTCTCAGAAAATAACTGGCCCCAGCCTGCACCCCCCCCCACAGAAGAAGAGAATAGACTTTAGCATTCAGGTTGTCAGTGTGGATTAGTATAAATCAGCCTCACGTGACGTCTGCAGTCTCAACTCATCTCTCACATATTAATCTCAGCACAGATGTAAAAGATGGAGAACTGACCTGAGAGTCTCCAGTCTGCAGTCTGGACTCTCCAGAAGATCACTCAGCTGCTTCACTCCTGAATCCTGCAGCTTGTTGTAACTCAGGTTCAGATCTCTCAGATGGGAGGGGTTGGACCTCAGAGCGGAGGCCAGAGTAGCACAGCTGATCTCTGACAACCTGCAGAGACTCAGTCTGAATAAAGAAAAAAACATGATTTTGAAAAATATATTTGTATAATCCATCAGATGTGTTCAGGTTTTAAATGTGAATCTCAACATTACTTTGACCTTATCAATGAGCTTTACCCTGTTCTTGAGGATCATCATAATATCAATATTCTATATATTATTTGTGAAAATGCATTAAGATGAAAGGGAACCAAATAAAGATCAGCAAGGGTGACTGTGGTGCAGGGGATCCTAACCAATATAACTAGAGAATGTAATTCCTGAAGAAGTTTCGGTGTGAATGCTATATGCTAAGCTGCAATTCCCACAGGAGCAATTTGGGGTGAAGTGTATTTTCCAAGGATTGGGCCAGACTCACCTGATCTAAGGATCAGTGCACAAACCCACTGAGCTAAGCCGCCCCAGGGCGACAGAAAGATGAAGACTTATACACCAATATTAAATTAATTATGGATAATATCTCTGGAGTTATGAGTGTCAGGAGTAATAGCACAAATGTCCTGGACATGAATGTTTTGAAGTTCAAACAGTGTTTCTGCGAAATAAAATGTGGTAGCAGTCACACCAAATGATCCAAGCTCCAACTCTCTATCATCAGATCTTTGACAACCTCATTTATATCCCACAGCTCATCAATATCATCTTCAGTGAATCATGGAATACAATGCGAGTCTGTGGAAGCTGAAAAACTGAGCCATAAAGCTTTTCTCTTTTTGCTTTTTGTTCAGCTATTTGAAAAAGCAGAACAAATATGAAAAAATGGAAATTCCTAAAATCATAAATAAAAAATAAACGGCTGCAGTCAGTGAACTAACCTCAGCGTCTCCAGTCTACAGTTTGAACTCTTTAGTCCAGAACACAGCTGTCCCACTCCTGAGTCCTTCACAGTGTTGTAACTCATGTCCAGCTCTCTCAGATGGGAGGGGTTAGACTCCAGAGCTGAAGCCACAACTTCACAGTGAGTCTCTGAGACGACACAGCCAGAAAAACTGTCATGAAATGAATATATGAAATATTAAGAAATGTGATATTGTAAACATTAGAAAGATATTGTTGTATTGATGTAAATATTACATAACCATTTTCAGAAATAACATTAGCTCTTGGGCCATTTAATATATTATTGATATATGCATTGTCTGCCTGGAGGAGCTATTTTTTGGTAAAAACCAAATCAAGTGTTATGTGAGTCTCTCATTTAATGATGACTGTATTCACTGACACCTGTGAAATACTTTTGTACGTTGTGATCAAATGATGATGTAATAAAACCCGATCCAAAGCCTCTAAAGTCCTTCATTTATTTGACTGGGTCTGCACATGTCCTTCCCAAAACTGTAACATTTTACATTTATTATAAATAAATAGAATAACTCTGATAATTTAATTGTGCTCTAACAATATATTAAACAGTAAACATGTTAAAGTGTTTAATTGAAAAACTAAACTTCTACACCTATTTATAAAGTTAATCACATATTGTAGAGTTATATTTGTATTTATTCATGTTAGCAAACTATGGATAAGCTTAAAATGAGAATAATTTGGGTAAAACTGTGAGCTGCATTTGGGGCCTGTTGACATGTGTTTTTGAGGACAAAGGAAGATGGGGGAAGGTGAGAGCATGTCCTGATTTGCATTCAACTTAGAACGAGCTACAGTGGTTGTGATATTAAGAGAGGTCCCTTGGGTTTCTCTGGTGGTTATCAACAGTAGCAGTTAAGTGAATACTGTTCAAACAATACCTGTGTTTGTGTTTTATATTGATTTCTCTGTTTTATCCTTTCATAAATGTAAGGACTACAAATGGCTATAAACATTCTGGGCTGGTTGGAGTAAACAGGGTTTTATGGCTCTGTGGGGGAGGTGTAGGTATGCAGGCCTTGAGACCTTTTGTTGGAAAGTGAGCCTGTTTGGTTTCCTGCTGCGTTTCCTGCTGCGTTGCGTCTCCCAATGAGATGACCTGAAAAGATGACCAGCTGACCTAACACCAAACCCCTCCTTCTTACTCTGGTATATATCCGGTGGATCCCTGGCGTTCGGCCTCTTCTTCACATGCTGCCCTCGGGTGAAAGTAGCTCTGCAGTATGCGGACCAGAGCAGGAGTAAGCCGGCATTACTCCTTAAGCATTGCAATATAACTGTAATATATCATGTTGTATTGTAATGATTGTATTGCATTGTCATATTGCCATTAAAGTAGATTATTGTTAACGGTTACTTTGTAGATATGGATTCCTTCCTGTATTATAACCAGCTTCATAGGAACGCGCGGAGATTTGAAAAGCGGACCAGTTATCCCTCCAAATCCCCAACAATATGTACTTACACAGCCTTTCTGCAGTTCCTCACAGCTGGAAACAGTCTCAGTCGTCCCTCCAATGATGTTCTGTATTTATTCAGGTCCAACTCATCCAGAACCTCCTCTGACATCTGCAGCATGTCGGCCAGAGCAGAGCAGTGGATATCAGAGAGCTCCTCCTCTGATCTGTTCTCTGACTTCAGGAACTCTGTGATCTCCTGATGTACTGAGTGGTCCTTCATCTCTGTCAGACAGTGGAAGATGTTGATGCTCCTGTCGGGAGAGATTTTATGACTGCTCATCTTCTTCAGGTTGCTGATGGCTCTCTGGATGGTTTCTGGACTGTTGTCTGTGCGACCCAGCAGGCATCCTAACAGCCTCTGGTTGGACTCCAGAGAGAGGCCGTGGAGAAAGCGTCCAAACAGGTCCAGGTGGCCATTTTTACTTTCGAGTGATTTCTTCATGGCTCCTTCCAGGAAGACATCCAGGGATGGGTAATCCTGATCAATACTATCAATGCTCTCATAGGGCCAGTCTCCCTGCAGGAAGTCCTTCAGTACCGCTGTGTCTCTGTTGGTGTAGCAGTGGAACATGTAGACTGCAGCCAGAAACTCCTGAATGCTCAGATGAACAAAGCAGTAGACTGTTTTCTGGAAGATCAAACTCTCTCTTTTGAAGATCTCTGTACAAACTCCTGAGTGCACCAAGGCCTCGGTGACACCAAGACCACAGCGCTGAAGGTCTTCTTGGTAGAACATGATGTCTCCTTTCTCCAGATGTTCAAACGCCAGCCTCCCCAGCTTCAGAAGAAGCTCCCTGTCAGCCTCCGCCAGCTGCTGTGGACTCGTCTCATGTCCCGCTTCATACTTCTGCTTCTTCCTCTTTGTCTGGACCAGAAGGAAGTGTGCATACATTTCGGTGAGGGTCTTGGGCAGCTCTCCTCTCTGGTCTGTAGCCAACATGTGGTCCAGAACTGCAGCAGTGATCCAGCAGAAGACTGGGATCAGACACATGATGTGGAGGCTCCTGGAGCTCTTGATGTGAGAGATAATTCTGCTGGACAGGTCTTCATCACTCGATCTCCTCCTGAAGTACTCCTCTGTTTGGGTATCAGTGAAGCCTCTTACTTCTGTTACCCTGTCCACACACTCAGGAGGAATCTGATTGGATGCTGCAGGCCTGGAAGTTATCCAGACTAGAGCTGAGGGAAGCAGCTTCCCCCTGATGAGGTTTGTCAGCAGCACGTTGACTGAGGACTGCTGTGAGACATCAGACACAACCTTACTGTTTCTGAAATCCAGAGAAAGTCTGCTTTCATCCAGGCCGTCAAAGATGAACAGCACTTTACAGACAGCCAGCTGCTCTGCTGTGACCTTCTGTAAGGTTGGATGGAAAACATGGAGCACCCTGAGAAGACTGTACTGCTCACATTTGATCAGGTTCAGCTCCCTGAAGGAGAGCGGGATCACCAGACTGACATCTTTGCTTTCCAAACCCTCGGCCCAGTCCAGAGTGAACTTCTGCACTGAGAAGGTTTTTCCAACACCAGCGATGCCGTTCGTCATAACCACTCTAATGTGTTTCTGTTGATCGGGTAAGGCCTTAAAGATGTCATGGCACTTAATTCGGGTGTCATAGAAGGGCTTTTTCTTTGAGTCTCTCTCCAGCTGCTTCACCTCATGTTGGGTATTAATCTCTTCACTCTGTCCTTGTGTGATGTAGAGCTCAGTGAAGATGCTGTTGAGGAGGGTTTTACTTTGATCAGTTCCTTCAGTCACACGTTCACATCTCCTCCTCAGACAGGTCTTATGTTCATGGAAAACATCCTGAAGATCCCTATCTGCTGAAAGAGAAGGAAACAGGGTTTTATAATGATAAGAAAGCTTCTTAATGTGAGTAGACCATGGATGTATAATAAGAACCTGCTACTAATTTCCCCTATGCAACCTGAAGAGTAAAAGTGTCAAGTCCGTCAGAAAGCACTGACTGTAAGTGTAGGGTTGCCAACCGTCCCGTATTAGCCGGGACGCCCCGTATTTGAGCCAAAAGGGGCGTGTCCCGTACGGGACTTTGTTTGTCCCGGACTCCCGTCCCGTGTAAAGGGAACAATTAAAAATGTGTTTCTGTTTGCGCGCAATGCAGTGTGACTGGCTGCGTCCCTGTGTGTTTGTGTGCTGTATCCGAAGGGCACTAGGACCGCTCAGTTGACAGGGCAGGCACAATGCTCGCACGTGTGTGTGTGAGATTTTCTCCGGTGGGCCGAGGCTCGGCATCATTGTTTGTGTGGCATGTCAGCCTGTTCAGTCGTGTGGGGAAATGAGCGCTGCCGGTGGAGGAGGTGATAATGAAAGAGGAGAAGAGAGAGAGGATGTGGTTCTGGGCCCTGGCCCTTCTAAAAAGAAAATACTTGTGTGTGTGTGTGTGTGTGTGTGTGTGTGTGTGTGTGTGTGTGTGTGTGTGTGTGTGTGTGTGTGTGTGTGTGTGTGTGTGTGTGTGTGTGTGTGTGTGTGTGTGTGTGTCAGCTGATTGATGGGAAAATGGTTGGTTGAAGGATAACATTAAGTCTAATAATGATGTACCGTGCATGTTCACATCATGCATTACTTAATACCATTTTTCAAATATTTATTTTTTAACATTTTGGACAAAATAGCCAATTGTACATCAAGGTGCCCAGATGTCCCTAGTGCCCACCTATCCGATTTGAACATGCTGATGTACAATGTGATGTAGTAAGTAGCCTAATGCAGGTGTGATTGATTGATTGATTGATTGAAAAGTTTATTAACAGCTTGTATATTGGGTACAGTACAGTACAGTCCCCCATTTCCAATTCATCATATAATTTAAGACATATAAGACATATTTGACATACATATGGCTTATTTACAATTTACATACAGGTGGTTTTTTACATACAGATTGCTTATTTACAATTTTCATTTTAGATTTCGTTCTAATACATCCTAACCGGACATTTAAGACATACCAAGTCTACAGATATACAGTTAGTAACAGAGTCTAAAATGCGAGTATATACATAGATGGGGGGGGGGGGGAAGCTGTCCATTGAACGACAGGTTGAGATTTGTACCATTACCGGGGCCAGTTTTGTAATGCTCTCCCCCGAAGGTGCTCTTTAAGAGAGGGTTTGAAGGTAAGTATAGTTTTACTTTCCTTTACAGTTGTGGGAAGAGCGTTCCACCTTGATGTGGCATAATTGCGAAACGTGTATTCCCCCTTTTTTGTGCCAAATCTGGGTTTCACATGATTTGTGGAGCTCCCTCTGGTGTTACGATCATGGTATTCCTTGACCTTTGGGAAGAATTTTGACATGTACATGGGTACCATAGAGGTGTAGTGGATCTTGTAGACCAGGCCCATTGCAAGTAGCTGTACTCTGTCGTCTACTCTAAGCCATCCTAGGTTGTCAAAGTGGGCAGAGGTGAGGTGGGTTCTAGATGAAAGGTCAAGCAGTAGTCTGACCAGTTTATTTTGAGATGTTTGCATTTTTATTTGTAGCGCCTTGGAGGTGCTATGGTACCATGACGTGCAAGCATAGTCATAGTCAGGGGTGCACATAACTTTTTTTCCCTGGTTCGCAAAGGAGCACCTGGAGATGTTGCTTGGTGCGCATCCTTACAATGAAATATACCGGACCTTTTGAGGGGTACTTGACTTTATGAAGGGGGGGGGGGTGCGCTAGTGAGCACGCCCATGAACTGTTCGCCCGTGCCTCGCAGCAGGGTTACTGTGCGGAGCGCATATGCAGACCTTCCACGCGATAGCGAGGGGTAGAGCAGGGATCGCAGATGCCGTCGCGCTCGCGGATGGATTAAAAAAACCCTGCTATCTTACCAGTTCTTATGCAACTCGCAAATATCTCTCTTTTCTCTCTCTCTCTCTCTCTCTCTCTCTCTCTCTCTCTCTCTCTCTCTCTCTCCTCTCTCTCTCTCTCTCTCTCTCTCTCTCTCTCTCTCTCTATGTTGGTGCGCAAATGCGCTTTTTTCTAATGATCCGGTGCTCCTTTTTTGGCGGTGGGTGCGCATGCGCACCTGCGCACCAGTTATGTGCAGCCCTGGTCATAGTAGCCTTGAATGAGTGCTCCTGCTAGAGTTTTCAGGGTGTTTTTGTTTACCAGAGAGGAGATCCGGTATAGGAATCTAGTTCTTTGATTGACTTTTTTTTATTACATTGGATGCCATTTTGTCACAGGAGTGTAAGACCATTGTGTTTGTATTGTGTTATAGGTATGCATAGTTTGCTATGCATTTTGAGGGTTTTGGGGTGTTTGACCCATCAAACCCTAGGGGGCTGGCTCCCCCAAAATAATTAAATAACCCTAACCCTAAAACCGAAATAAAGTTTTTTTTTAAAGTAACTAAATCTGCCAGAAACGTGTCCCGTTTCTCCATTTATGGAAGTTGGCAACCCTATGTAAGTGTAAGCTTTACACTACACTCTAAGGATTAGTAACATCTATTGTGTGTATGTGATGATATTTGGAGATGTTTAAACACAATGAGTAAATGCGTTAGCATTCGCGCTAGCATTGGCGTTAGCATCCGCGCTAGCGTTAGCATACACGGTAGCGTTAGCATTAGGGTGGCCATTTCCATAACACCAAAAAGGAGGACACTTTGGGATTATCTTTTAGTTTTTATCCTGGCTTCACAGAATCCTTCACACTCTAAACACAATGAGACTAGTGTACTAACCACAAGTTGAATGTCTATTTTCGATACTTTTGCCCTTTCCTGGCTGCTTCCAAGAGTTTTTTGTTTGTAAGGAGTCTCTGGTTCATGTCTGTGCACTCAAATGTGAAGTTGACACAAATGTGCAGCTCTGCCTTGACTCTGTCCACATCCAGACGATTTCTCTCATTTCTCCATGCTGAGGTCATCATTGAGAACACACGTTCTGTATGGGCATTGCTACATGGGATGGAGAAGATGTAGGCGCTGACCTTCCTCAGATTCACAAGTGGGACTTCTGCTTTGGAAAACAGTTTGAGATACCGCTCCTCACTGTGGCATCCTTCCATTGCTGAAGAGCTGAGAATAGCTTCCACCATGCCATATTCCTCAGAGTCCATCCATGTCAATGTCTTTCAGGCTGCAGGCTTGGACTGCATCACTGTATTCTCCATAGGACCCAGCAGTTGTGAGGCCAAGCTTTGACACTTTACTATGAAAGCTGTTCTCAGAGAAGTCAAACCTTTCACTCACGTATTTCTTGGCTCTTTCATAGAAAACAAGAAAATCAGCCTCACATTTCTTTGCGAGATCAGGGGTTAGCTGCTTGAGTTTGTTGTTCACAGCAAAGCCAAAAAATGTGTCCTTTAACCTTCTCTCAAGTTTCCCTTTCAGTTCAGTCATGCCCTTAAACACAGAGGTTATGCTGAATGATTTGGCCTCAAGTGCTTCAATGCAGTGAATGCATGAAAACACTTTCAGAATGTGACTGAGGAAGAGAAAATACATCTCAGATACTTTGTTACCATCCTCTCCAAAGCATTTCCACAACATCTTGAAGCATTCCTCCTCACCTAGGCCCCTTCTCACTTCTCTTATTTTTCATTTCCTCGCTCCTCGGTCTCACCGGAAGTTGATTTGTCTGCGCCATCTTGAGTAGCGTCCCAATGGCCTTATTTTTGCCGGAGGATCGAGGAGCGATAATGGAGGAGCTATAACCGAGGAACCACCAGACCATCCTTCGATGAAATCCTCAGACACTCACCCCGCCCCCTTGCTGTGTATCGCTCACTGATTGGACGATGCAGTGCATGCACTGATCTGATGCTTCTTGACATGAGAGCAGTTTCCCAGCGGAGTGAAGAAAATACATGAACCTCACGAGTCACTCCTCAGTTTATACCGTGTTTTGTTTCAATTCATGTTTCATTTAGTTACAAATATGTGATATATCTGAACAACAAAGTGGGCAAAAATCATTTTATTCATTTATTAGAAACATTTTCATGATCGCTTTTTTCGTTTTATATTTTCATTTATTGTCATTTCCATTCAGTCATTACGTGCTATTGAAATGTTAATGTGCTACATATCCACACAAACACACAAAGTGTGCAATCCAATGAATGTTAATCTAACTGGGTTTTGATAGATAACATATCTCTTTTTCTTCTCTCAATTATTTTATTTCTATTGTGCACTCTAATCAATATTAATCTAACTATTGTTCGTTTATACATTTTAAGAATGGCGTTTATCTTTTTTGAGAATGAGTTCTTATTTTATTTCATGTATTTGGGTCTACAACAGATGATACAAATGTTTGTGTCAGTAAATGTGTGGCGGGGGTGTTTGTGAAAACAACGGGGACAGAGCTGCTGTCAGACGATCAGCTGTGCAGCGTCATCACAAACGGACGTCGCTTCACGTGACGCTCCGGAGGAAAGGACGTCCCATTGCTCTTAAAACTCATTTCCCTGCTTCTCGTGGTTTCCTTGCGTCTCTCCATGCTTCCTTGGTGGGAGGGACTAAACGCAGGGAAACGACGCAAGCGAGGGACGCAAGGAATCCATTTAACCGAAGTGAGAAGGACCCCTAGACTCTGAAAGTCGCTGGTCAGGGGTCTCAATACTTCAGAATTCTGTCAATAGATGGCAGCAGAGACAACCATCTCGTGACAACGTGCCGCAGCAGATTGCATTCCTCCACTTCCACAAACTCGCAGAATTCCTTCAACTGCGCCGTTCTGCTAGCTGAGATGCTAACATGGCTATACACCTTAAGCACAACATTTTCAATGTCAATATCCAAGTTGCTTGCTGCATATCTTGTTGCATTGTGCAGAATATGGGCTAAACAGTTTGCAGCG